GCCTCAGTTAGCATCCCCACCCTTCTTCATGTGTTTTTCATTCTACTGATAACAGATTTTTTGGTGGATGTTAGTTTTTTAGTGCTATAAAGTATGTGGCTACGAACAAGCTCATGGATGTATCTTGAGGCACAGGCACACATTTCTGTTTCCAAATTAATTGCGCCAATTTAGACCCCACTGGCAGTGTGAGATTTCTAGTTATTCCACACCCTTGCCAATTCCTACTACTTTCTTCTTCTGGAAAATATTTTAACCATTCTGCTAGATGTGTAGTGGTATCTCACTGTGGTTTTAATTTGCATTTCTTTCTCTGATTAATGAGGCTGAGCCCTTTTCACATTTGTATTGGCAATTTGGACATCCTCCTTTGTGAAAGCTTTGTCCTTTTACTTTTGATTCCTAAGAAGTTTATTTTATATTCTGGACACAAGCCCTTTATTGACTTTATGTGTAGCAAGTAGCTTCTCCCAGTTTGAAGCTTGTCTTTACTTTTTCTTAAAGTTATCTTTTGATGAACCTAAGTTCTTTATTTGATATTATCCAATTTATCAATATTTTCCTTTATAGTGAATTATTTTATATCCTACTTAATAATTATTTTTCTGGGGGCACTGAGGTGGCTCAGCTAGTTAAGTGTCTGACTCTTGATTTCAGCTCAGGACTTGATCTCACGATTTGTGGGTTCAAGCCCCGTGTAGGGCTCTGTGCTGACAGTGCAGAGCCTGCTTGAGATTCTCTCTCTCTGCCTCTCACCCCCTCGTATATGTGCTCACTCTCTCTCAAAAATAAATAAAAAATTATTTTTCTGCTCTTAACTAATATATTATCTAATATTACCTAAAATTTTAATAATCTTATATGGAGATGTATAGCTAATGAAATACTGATTTTATATGTTACAGGATAGGAATCAAGATTCTTTAATTTTTTTTTTTGTGGCATATGTAGATTTCTTTGTCCTAGCACAATATATATCTAAAAGATCTTCCTTTACCTTGTGCTCTATGTTTTTGGTTTCATAAATCAGGTATTGATATGCATGGGTCTTTTTCCTATAACCTCTATTACTTTTTTACCTTGGCTATTTGTCTATCTTTGCACATATACCCTAATTACCATCTTGGGCAAATCTCAGCCTTTTGAATTTCCAACATAAGTTTTAGAACCATCTTCTCAAATTTCACAAATAGTTGCTGGAATTGTGACCAGAGTGCATTAAATTTATAGATCATGCTAGATTGAGGTATCTATATGACTTTGAATCTTATAATCCATGAAATGGTAGGTATATCACACATTTATTTTAGGTCACGGTTTAACCGCAACAATATTTTCTATTTTTGTGTGAAGAGTTCTTGAATACCTTTTATTTGATGCAAAATGCTGGGTATTTTTATGGTAATATATATAGTATTGTTTCTAAAACAAACTTTCATTTTTTTACCCTGATATATGGAAATACAATTGATTTTTTTCTCATGAACTTGAATCACAAACTTGTTAAATTCCTTAATTCTAAAACTCATCTAAAAACCCCAAAACTCAAAGGCCTTTTGGATTTTTCACACAATCACATTCAAATAATGACATTTAAAATTTTCTTTCTGATCTTTCGCTAATTATTTTCATTTTCTTACTTTACTGGATTGGCTAGGACTTCCAGTACATTATTGAATATAAGTGGTAGGCATAGTGTGGGAATCCTTGATCTAATCTCAAAGGGAATGACTGCAACATTTCACCATTTAGCTAGACATTTGTTGGTTTTCTTTATAGATAATCTTGTATCAGAATAAAATAAAATTTCCCCTCCATTTTTAGTACTATTACTAGCTAGACAACCTAAAGATATTCCCTCTCGCTGTTTTTATAGTTCTTTTCCTTATCATTGGTTTTCAGCAAATTTTTATAATGTGCACTTATTACTCCTATTGCTCTTACTATTCTATATGTAGTTTGTAACAATTCTTGAATTTGCAGCTTGGCATCTTTCATGAGATTTGGGAAATCCTCAACCATTAGTTTGTTCAAACGTAGCTTCTGCCCCATTCATGCTGGACTTGCTTCCCAGAACTTTGATTATGAATAGGGAAAGGGTTAACATTAGGCAGAGAGAGATAAGGGAGCCTCAGGGAGGCAGACTGCAGCTGCAAGTGGGAGACTGAAGAAGTAGCATATTCCAGAGTCGCCCAGGCTAGGTGCCAAGAGTGGAGGCTCACAAACTTTCTGATAAGGTCAGGGACAGAAATCCTTGGTGGCTACCCAGTCAGGGCTTTCTCGCTCTTGAGAGCTTTATACTTTCCCTCAATAAACTCTATTGCTTTGCTCACTCTCTGTTGTCTGGAGGTTCATTCTTCCACTCCCTGAACAAGGACCAGCGTGTCTCTTATCCGCCTTTAACAGTTATATGTAGATTAGCTCTCCACATGACATCCTCTTTGTATTTCACTTTCTCATTGCTATTTTTCAGCATTTTGGGTCTCCATGTTTTATTTTGGATATGTTTTTCAGAACTTTCTTTCAGTTTAGTAATTCTCTGTTCAGTTATGCTTTCTTATTATTTTATCTACTGAGTTTTAAGTATTTATTATTTTTTCATATTACAATATCTTTTGGTTCTTTTTCAAATCTACTATGTCTTTCATAGTTTCCAGTTCTCCGCCAAAATTAAAAATCTTGTCTTTTATCATCTTAAATCTGTTAAGCACAGTTTGCTAAGTCTCTGGCTGGTAACTCCAATCAATAGCTAGAGTCCTCATGAACCTAGTATTTGTTGTTTCTGCTGGTTCTTGTTAATGGTACCTTGTCTCTTTGTGTGCCTAGTTATTCCTTTTAAAATTTTATCTAACATTACATTTGCAAAATTAGAATTAATCTGTGACCTAACAATGCTTTCATTCTCCAAAAAGAATTTTGCTGCTTTTTCTTTTCCTGCCAGTGCCTAGAGGCAACTGCAATATAAAATACCTTCATCCAAATTCAGGGACTGAGATAATGTTTATTTGTTTGTTTGTTTCTGTGTTTTAAGTTTATTTAGTTTTGAAAGAGAGGGCGTGAGCAAGGGAGGGGTGGAGAAAGAGGGAGAAAGAGAATCCCAAGCAGGATGTCTGCTGTCAGTACAGAGTCGGAGGCTTAACTGACTGAGCCACCCAGGCACTCTGAGATAATGGTTTTTTAATTATGTATTTACTTTTTTAATGTTTATTATTTTTGAGACACAGAGAGGCAGAGTACGAGCGGGGGTGGGGCAGAAAGTGAAGAAGACCTAGAATCCAAAGCAGGTTCCAGGCTCTGAGCTGTCCATACAGAACTGGACCCAGGACTCGAACCCACGAACTATGAGATCATGACCTGAGCTGAAGTCAGATGCTTAACTGACTGAGCCACCCAGGGGCCCCAATAATGTTTTTTTTTTTTAAAGAGTGTTTCTGAGACATAATTCACACACCATAAAATTCACCTGCTTGAAGTGTATAATTCAAGAGTTTTTAGTATATTCATAGAGCTCTGTAACCTTTACCAGAATCTAAATTTAGAACATTCTCATCACCCCAAAAAGAAACCATGTTGGTTTCACTTAGCATTGGCATTCACTCTGCATTCCCTGCCCAATTTGGGCAGCCACGCATCTACTTCTGGTCTCCATAGTTTTGCATTTTCTAGACACGGAATACAGAAAGAATCATGCGATATGTGGCATTTCATTTAGCATGCATTCTTTGATTTAGCGTGATGTTTTCAAGGTTCATCCATGTTGTAGCATGTATCAGTATTTCATTCTTTTTTATTGCTGGATAATATTCCATTGTACGGATATGCCACTCTTGTTTATCTATTCATCAGCTGATGAACACTGGAAGATTTCTGCTTTGGGGTATTATAATGCTACTATGAACGTCTGTGTGCAAATTTCTATAAGGATATATATTTTAATTTCTCTCGGGTATATGAATGTCTTGGTCATATGGCGACTCTATGTTTAACACTTTAAGGGACTGCCAACCTATTTTCAGGGTCAACGGATTCTGGGCCAAGGATCTCTAAGTGTCAGTCAGTGAAGCTCTCCAGCTTCCAACCCAAAGCCATGATAAGTTTACGAGGTACCCCTTTTGAGAGTCCTGGACTTCAACTTTTTTATTCTTACAACTGCCTAATGTCATAAGTAATGTCTAATCTCTTAGCATCTCAGGTACCACTTCTAAAATTAGAAACTTAGTCCATTCAAGCTGCTGTAACAGAATAACATACCCTGAGTGGTTTAGACACCACAGACATTTATTTCGCACAGCTCTGGAGGCTGAAGTCTAGAGCAAGGTGTCCAGAGATTCAGTGTCTGGTAAGAGCCCACTTCCTCATTCAGGGTCTTCCGGCTGTAATCTCACATGGCAAGAAGGGTGACAGGCTCTGTTATAAGGGCACTGATCCCATTCATGAGGGCTCCGCCCTCATGACCCACTCACCTCTCAAAGGCCCCACCTCCAAAGACCACGATCACAGGAGGATTAGGTTTCAACGTGAATTTGGGGGGAGATACAAACATTCAGCCTACGGCAGAAATACTCCCAGGGGAAAAACACCACCAAGTTCCATTACTCAGCTCTCTAGATTCCTTTCTTCTCTCCATTCTCAGCCTGATAATTATTCTCTATCTTGTTACATCTTTTATGCCTTCAAGTCGATTTTCTAATGTAAAATCTTCTTAGATTTTCTGGGTTTCTCAGAGTTTGATCTGAATTACCTGGTCTATCACTATTGATTGTGGAAGCCCTGTAGTTATTTCTTTAGTTGTTAGTTTTCCCTGACTCCTTCAGGGAAAGGACTGCGTCTGGTCTTTTCCGCAGCACCAGATCCTGTCATCTAGCAGACGCTTTAAGAATGTTTATATCAGTCTAGGTTATTGCTTCCAAGTGTGAAACGGATTCTAAGTGATCTAAGCTGCTCACACAATCTGGGAAGGTCGGAAAGCCAACCACAGTAACTATGAAGCCAGAACAAACCTCGCGCCGCAGATGATCCAGGGCAGACGCGGTCACGGATATCACCAACGCTGGATGCTGGGCACTGATAACTGCAGTGTGGCTGCTGCTAAACAGGAAGGGCACCCAGGGAAATGGCTAGAAATAGAGAGTGGGGAAAGCTGAGGAAGGGAGGGCAGGTCAAGGGCATGACGTTTTGGAGACAACTGGTCTTGTAAAGGAATTGATAAAGGAATTCCACCTATTTTCAGGATTTCAGAAACTGAAGTAGAAATCCCACAGAACTGGAAAGCAGGTTTATTGATGGCCAGGGTCATTCCAAAGTGAATTATTGGCGAGTCATTTCCAAAGGCTGAGCAGATGATACAAATGAATAAAATGACCCAGAAAGACAGATTCCACCGTGACCACCCCACCCCTCCTCTTCCTTGCCTGCCATGCCCTGCTTGAGAAGACTATGATCTGATTCACATATTCTTCTTTTCCAAAGTCCTCACACTCCTTTCTTGTCATCACATCCTGAGCAATTTAAATTCCACTCCTTTTCAAAAGGATTTCTTCAGAAACTGCTCTGTGAGCCAAGGGTACTAATGACCTCTACGTCAGTGCCTTTCAAATAGAACTGGACTTGTTAATAAAAATTATTATGTTTCTCACCTGCTTAGATACAGCTTTCATCATTAAGAGGTTTCTTCAGAAGCACGGGACTCCCTAGGGACTATCCTCTGGTTTTCAGTCACCCTGCCCACAGTGCGTTAATTCCAAAAAGTAAGGGGTAGTTCTCAAGAGGCCTAGGGTGGTCTGACTTTGCCATAAAGGACTCCTTTTTCTTGTTGCTGCTGAGAGAGAGAGAAAAAAGAGAGAGAGAGAGAGAGAGAGAGAGATCAAGCAGGTTCCACGCTTAGCAAAGCCCAACATGGGGCTTGACCCTGGGATCATGACCTGAGCCAAAATCAAGAGTTAGATACTCTGAGCCACCCAGCCACTATCCCAAAGATTTTTTTCGTAACCGAGTTTTGTGAGGTTCCTAGGCAGTCTGTTATCCTCTCTCCCCCTATTTCTTTCTGTGTTTGTTTGTTGTATTGTAGCCAAGGATTTTACTTGTTAATAGGGAGTATTAGGGGACACACACTCCCTCTTGGTCAGAACCAGAAGTCCTCTACCCACATATTTTTAAAGTGATGGAGGAGCGCCTGGGTGGCTCAGTCGGCTAAGCGTCCGACTTCAGCTCAGGTCATGATCTCATGGTTCGTGGGTTCGAGCCCCGCATCGGGCTCTGTGCTGACAGCTAGCTCAGAGCCTGGAGCCTGCTTCAGATTCTGTGTCTCCCTCTCTCTCTGACCCTCCCCTGCTCATGCTGTCTCTCTCTCTCTCTCAGAAATAAATAAAAAATATTAAAAAAAATTATTTTAAATAAAATAAAGTGATGCATATCATCCTTACACTTAGCTACAAATAAATAAATGCCAAAGCCTTCCTCTAGATAAATACCCTACCTCCTTTTTCGTTTCTTCAAAATTACAAACAACATTGTAAAGAACATCTGAATATTTACCTTGCAGAGGTGAAAATGTTAGGTCAAAAGGGATACCCATTTTAAATTTTGATAAACTTATCCAATTCACCTCAAATTTATTAATGCCAATAATGAATGCACATATTCGTGGATATTTTCACTAATCATTTCACTAATTATACATTATCAAATGCTTTAATCTTTGACAATCCAACACGTAGAAAATACTTCTTAAATTCTCACTGACTCATATTTCTGTGGATATTAAGTTTGAAAAGAATTTAAGTGATCAGTGGTAACTTATGGATAGTTTTATATCATTATTTAACTATTTCAGTGAGTTGATGTATATGTATAAGTTTATCATTTGCTTTTCAAACATATTTAAGATGTCTCATTTTTTAATGGAAGATCATGATGATAATTTGGTCGTTACTTGTGAGATATTTCTACCTTTTTCCTATCGTACTTAGACAGGACTTCTCCAAAATAATAACAATATTTTTGCGGTAAGAAAGAAACAATATTTTTGCACTGGAAACTGTGTATATATTATCTTACACAGCAAAAAGGAATTCAGGGTGCAGAGAGTATTAATGCAGCTAACAGGCTGGATACAGATGAGAAAATACTAGATTTAGAAAGTAGCAGGTCGTTGACGATCTCAGCAAGGGAAACTGAGGAACAGAAAAGAAGCTGAAGCATCAAATTATTTTTTCAAGAGCATTATCTGAGAAGGAAAGGGGAAAATTATTAGTGTGTCCCTGGTCCTTTAAAACCCTCTCCTGAATATTGTTCCATAGAGATTAGTAATATTTAACAGAAGATATAATCCACCTTGAAAATGTTATAGTAACTATGGGCTGTACGTAATAATATGACTCTCTTTACATAATATTGCTACAAGGAAAAGTGGATGCATTACTTGAGTTCATTCCAGTAATTTTGCTGGGTTTATGAGCACCCAATCCAGTATATTCTGTCCGCCTGACTCTAACTATGCCAACAGGTAAATTAGCATATATGACAGACGAATAGAGATGTTATAATTTTATAATCCTTCCCAAACGCAGACCATTTTGTGCTTACAATTAAATAGCCTTTGTCCACGGCCTAATTAGTATAACTGGACTTAACTCCAAACGGAAGGTTTGCCTCACCGTCCACAGTTTTATACGAATTATTGTGTTCATGGACAAGCCTGCCACGGCAAACAACCCGCACAAGGTCACGCAGCAAATCAAAGCAGCGGTGTGGATTCCAACTGAGGTCTGACTGGTTCCCAGGCCTAATCTTCCCACCCTTCTACCTATGTCAGCCCGCACTCCCTGCGGCAATGGAACAGAGTCCTCACTCTCAGGGCACTCAGTGTAGAAGGAAACACAGAGTATCGGGTGAGCAGTAGTAACACAAAGAACAACACAACGCGGCTATCACTTCGGGAACCCCTACCACTTGGCCGACTTTGGGCTGAACACTTCGTATATCCTCAGGTCAACTATGTGAAGTACGGATTAAGCGCGTTTCACAAACCAGGAAACTGACGCAGGGAGATTCCGAAAATCGCACAATTATTAAGCAACGACACTGAGTCTCCGTGACCGCAGTCCCAGGCTCTGTAACCACCCACACTTGGGGTTAAAATCTGGCTCTGAGGTGTGTTAATTCCGTGGCCTCCGGCTAGCGCCACCCTCGACGAGGGCTGCCTAACAACGCCCCGTGCGCGGGCCATTCCTTGAGCGCCAGGGTCCGGGTCTCGCTCCCGCCGCACCACCCGCTCCCCTGCATCCGCCCGCACGCTTCCCCGCGTCCCTCTGCGCTCACCTCTCCACCTCCATCGGCAGCAAGGGGCCTCGCATCGCCGCTCGCAAACGCGACCGAACCCTGCGACCCGGGCCCCGCAGCTCGGGCTCCCCCGCGACGAGGACGCCGGACGCCGCCAGCCTGGCCGGCAGCATCCAGGTTCGCGGCGGTCGCCGGACAGACGCCCGCCAGGCGAAAGCAATCGATCGCCCGCATCCAAACCCGCGTCTCCGCCCGGAAGTGAAGCGGCAGAGCTTCTGTTGTGGCGCCCCGGCCCGCGAGGGGGGGTTGAGAGACTTGAGTCGGGTTCGCTGTCGCGTTCGAACTGGTCTGGAAACGATACCTCCCATATTCTAGACTGATTCTTAGAACACTCCCTTGCACGTAGCCTCCGTGGGTATTTGTAGGATGGAGAGCTTGGAAACAAAAATGTAAGTGCTATGAAAGGTTAGGTGGGATGGTAATCAGTGTAATATCTTGCTATCCTTGAACCTTCAGTGGTAGTGCGTTTACTGCCAGATGGCCTGTAATCCCGTCACTTACGAATGCCAATTTTCTATTCATTCGGTAACCCTCCAGCACGGCACACCTTTCGGTGCGTCGTTGGAAGCAACGGAACAGAGAGGAAAAGATACGAAGGCTGGCAGTCCAACAGGCACACAAACGAACTTGTGCATTTGGTGGCTTAGGGAGCAGCGCCCACGTGTACCATTTGCCTGGGTAAGTCAGAGAAAGCCTACCAAGTACGGTTTGTGATAACATAATAGCAGAGTGCAAGTGGAGTAACCCTTCCCATGCTGTCCCTGAAGTCTTCCCATCTGTTGCCGCCCCCTGGTTTCACTCTTTATCTTCCCACCTATTAAGGTAGCGCCTAAGTGGTCTCCAAAGGAGAAAGTCCTGACCTCCTGCTTTTAGGACTGCTCCAGTACCAGTCATGTCCACAGGACTGTAAGGTCAAATATGGGGTGGGGGAAAGGAAAGAAACTTCACTGTGATTTTCAAGTCCATCTTTGACATTGTATCTAAAAGTTAACGAAGATGGTGGGATTCTTCTGCCCTTGCCTACAGTGTTCGTTCTGATTTTCTTAGCGTGGAACATCAAGCCTTTTGTACTGCAACTTTGAGGTCAAAGGCTGCCTTCCTGCTTGTATCCCCTATTCACTCCATACTTCATCTACAGGAAGACAGCATTCCCTGAGTATTTGGTGAACTTCCACAACTACAAAATGCGCCTCCAGGGAAATCAGGTTCATGAAGCCTCCAGACTCTGCAGGCAGCGTTAAATTAATCCCCCCTCAGAACCTGTGACTCATATATATCACAAAGCACTGATCACAGCCTATTATTTTTAATGTATAAAGACTGCCTTCCACTATACAGTTGACCTTTGGACAACATGAGGGTAGGGGCGCTGACCTCATGTAGTCGAAAATCTGCATGTAACTTTTGACACCCCTCCACTCCCAAAAAGTGAACTGTTAATAGCCTACTGTTGACTGGAAGCCTTACCGATGACATAAAGTCAATTAGCACATGGTTTGTATATGTATTACATATGGCATTAATAAAGAAAATGTTAAGAAAATCACGAGAAAATATTTACAGTACTGTACTGTAAAAAATCAGCATAGAAGTGGACCCACACAGTTCAAGGCCATATTGCTCAAGGATCAATGTATATAAGGATATAAGCGATGTGACAAGAGGAGAGTACCACTGTTTGAATCTTCAACATCTATACAAGTCTCTAGCATATGGCAACTGCTTAATAAATGTTCACTGAATGACTGATGATGTGATTTTAATAAGTCTTCTATGCCAGTGTCTTGATCGAGTTGGGGCTATGAAGTTTTGTGGCACACTTCATTTGTTCAAAGGCAGTTTCACCCCTTGTTTGGGGGGGAGGGAGGGGGAAGCAGCTGGAGTGATCCAAAGAAGGTGAGCTAAGGTTTTAAAGCCTCTGGCTCTGTGCTGCCCCCTAGGGGAGCTGTCCACTAAATAAGTGGAGCCTGTTTTAACATTCTTCATTGAATAAACATTTTTTAGCACGTGTTCATCTAGCACAGTTATAAAGGTCGAAAACATTGTACCTGCTCTCAGGAGCCTGTACCTTCACACACAGCCACAAATGGAGACGTGCAGGCTTTATCACCTTTAGAAACAAATAACAGTCCCTTACCCAACCCTTTAAACTGAGAGTGAACAGGAGGATTTGTCCAATTGGTAGGATGACTAAATTTCAGCCTAGAATCTTCTACTGATCACCTGTGTGACCCTGGACAACTCGTCTTTTTTCTCTGGCTTCATCTTCCTCTTCTGTAGAATAAGGGTCTTATTCAAAGATGGGTGATCTTTTCAGAAAATTTCACATTCTCTGACACCTTAATAAATGCAGGCCCTATATCAACTGTAGGAGAAGCTGAGGCTTTTAGCTCTGACGAAGAGCCTAGATTTTTTTTCTAGCAAAGAGTAGGAGATATTATTTTCTGGGGCCAACTGTGGCTTGAGTGCATGGAATGGATTGGCACTTGGCTATCTATAGGCTTCTCTGATCTTTACATACCAGAACTTCAGAGAAAGACCATGGTAAAAGCAATCAGCAGAGTGAAGGAAAGGGTGACAACTGTGTGCTTCTTGCTTTCCTTAATGGGGAAGGGAAGCAGCAGATAGGAAACAGAAGGCAACCCCTGGGGCCTTCGCAATATTGTAAAGTCCAAGGAACTGCTTGGGAGTGGACACCTTTACAAGGGTCCACTTGTAAAAAGGGTCATACTCCATGTACTTGGTCTGCTCGCCCAGGCCCTTCCCACCCAAATCACCAAACAAGCCTGAAGAACCTCACTGCTGAGCCTTTGTTGGTGAAGAGCTGGGATTTCTGAAAGTGGGGTGTTTCCTCACACATAGTGTCCAGTGTAGGATTTGGAGTTTCTTATTCCCCAATGCCTGAAGAAAACTTTGATTTGCCCAGAAGAGATTCTCCAGATCAGGGAAAAGGCAATTTGCGAGGATATCCCTCTGCAGCATAGGAATAAACATGCCCCGCAGTGATACAGACTGGTGACTCATGCAGCTGAGGGCAGACCTCAGAGCTGCCCACGAGGGCCACTTGTCCCAGAGGGTCCCTTCCCACGCAGGTGCCCACCATGTGCGGCCTGGGTATGTGTACCTATGTCTGTGTGGAGCAGTGTGTTTGCGGAGCAGCAGGTTCAATGGACCAGCAAGAAGCTTTGCTTATTACTGCCCAGAGGCATCTGATGCTCAGGAGCCCTGGTTTCTTGCGGTTAATGTATGTTGGCAAGGAAGAGGGAGGTGAGAAAAAAATAGAGGAGACAGCGGAACAAAAAGCATGAAGGCAGAGGAAATGGCTGATGAACGGGAGTAGAGCCCAGCTGGTTGGAAGCTCCTCAAAGCACCAGATGTGGAAGGTTTTCTCATCTGTGGCTTGTTATATGTCCCGGTTGTGGAGTGAAGGGTTTCTGTGGCTCTGCTGGGCTGAAGGCATCAGCCAGTCCTTGGGGACCCAACTCTGTACAGAGCACGCAGTAGCTGAGGCAGCCGAGGCGATTCGCCCAGGCTGGAATCTCCTGGCCCCACAGTATCTAAAGGCAGAATGCAGAGAGAGAACAGGCAGATTCATGATGGGACCCCCGTAGAGAGAGTCACCCTGTGCCAGAGCTGGGCTTCACTGAGGTGGAGCCGCCGAATTCGGTCTTGTGTGGTCTGAGCACGCCCTCTGGTGGCGCTAGGCAGTGACTCTAAGGCTTTCTCACACCGGGATTTCGGGTGGGAGCATCATAGACCAGTCATGCCTCTCAACCGTTTCGTCCTCAAAGTCTGGTCTCCACTCTCACAGTCTAGAGGAAATAAAAAATCCCACTGCAGAAATCGTTCGTCCACTTCCCCCCTCTCATTTGCTGAGGCAGCCAGAAGGTTTAAACATTGCCCAGTTTTGATCCTTAGGATCAAAAGGCAGAAAACAAGCCAATAAAAAGAAATGTTTTTAATGAATTATTTGAAGCAATGACTTCAGACAGAATGTCTGTCATCTGCAAGCAAATTCTTTTTCATCTACTGGTCAATGCTAGTAAGAGCCTCTCCTTTATCGTCTGTCTTCTTTGCCTGTTTCCCTGAGTGCCTCGCATACCTCACTAGGTTAATTGGCCGAGACAACCACAAAACTGCCAATTCACAGGTTAAGTTAACGGAGACCGAAGTGGCTTACATAATGTGTGTAAGCTTTGCAATCTCTTTGTAATGTTTGTAATCTAACAAACTGACAAGATTCCTGTTCAAGTCTATCAGTTCGTGTATTTTCCCACTGAACTTTGCTGTTTGCCAAAGAGACATAGATCATGCAGACCTTTCCACACAGGATTAACTGCTACTGACAGATATCTGTGCAATGTTATTAACAAACTGTTTTAGATGTGACATTTTGATAAGAACTTTGTTATTACTAACAATTCTTACCTATTTAATTGCTAACATCTGTTGAGTGCTTTCTCTATGCCTCCGTTCTAAGCTTTATATAATTAACTCACATCTCTATATAATCTCTGTGATCTGTGATCACTATGATCACATCTCTCTAGAGATGTGAGTTACATTGTAATTGTACACAAATTGTACATAGATTACATTGCTACTGTTATTCCCATTTTCCACTTGAGGAAACTGGGCCACCAAATAGTTAAAAATATTTCCCTAGATGATATGCGTATGTTTAACTTATAGAATGTAAGTTTCCCCACTGTGGTTCCTCACTAGTTCCCTGTGACAGAAAAGAGTTTATTTTCTGTCAAGTGTTTTTCTGCATCTTGATATGATTATGTGGTTTTTGCTCTTAATTCTATTGATGTGGTATTACATACTAATTTTTTAATGTAAAGTCAGTCTTGCATTCCTGAGATAAACCTCACTTGATCATGATGTATAATCCTCTCCATATGTTATTGGATTCAGTGTGCTCGTATTTTGTTGAGGGTTTTTGCATCTACATTCTCAGGAAGCACTGGTCAATCCCTTTATTGTTATGTCTTTGCTTTGTATTTGTATCAGGATACTAACTTCATAAAATGAGTTAGGAAATGTTCCATTTTCTTCTACTTTTTTGGAAATGTTTGTAAAAATTGGTATTAATTCTTCTTTTGAATATTTTAATTAATTTTAATTAATTAATATTAGCATTCAGCTAGAATCTTGTGAATATTAGAATTCACAACAAAGCCATCTGGATCTGGGTTTTTCTTTGTGGGTATTTTTTTTTAAAATATGAACTCAGTACCTTGTTACAGGTCTATTCAGACTTACATTCCTTCTTCAATCAGTTTTGGCAGTTTGTGTCTTTCTAGGAATTTGTTTATTTAACCTAAATTACCTAACTCATTGGCATAGAATTCTTTACAGCATTCCCTTAAAGTTTTTTTTTTTTAATTTTAATATCTGTAAGGTTGCTAGTAATGTCCCCTCTTACATTCCTGATTTTAATAATTTGAGTCTTGTTTCTTTTATTTTAATCAATCTAAAGGCTTGTCAATTTTATTGGTCTAAAAAAAAAGAACCTTTGGTTTCACGGATTTCTCTATTGTTTCTGTTCTCTTTCATTTACCTCTTTCTAATCTTTATTTACTTTGTTTGCTTTTGGTTTTGTTTGCTCTTCTTTTTCAAGTGTGTTACAGTGAAAGGTTAAGTCACTAATTTGCAATCTTTTCTTGATATAGGCGTTTACAGTTACACATTTCATCTAAGTGCTGTTTTGATGCATCCCATAGTTGTGGTATGCTGTATCTTCCTTCATTTGGATTCACCTCAAAGTATTTATTATTTCAATTTTGATTTCTTCTCTGACCAGCAAGGCATTCAATTACTTCATTTTCACATACATGTAAATTTCCAAAATTTCCTCTATAGTTGATTTCTTACATATGTTTGAAATTAGTATGACTGAAAGCTTTTTAAATTTATTGAGGCTTGTTTTATGGCCTGGCATTAAGTCTATCTTGGAGAATGTCTTCTGCTCTTTTGGGCAATCCACAGATGTCAGGTCAAGTTGGTTTACAGTGTTGTTCAAGTCTTCTATTAACTTAGGTAGGTGATCTTCTGGCTAGCTGTTCTATAGATTATTAAAGGTGGGGTATTGAGGTCTCCTACTATAATTATAAAATTGCCTTTTTCTACATTTTTGCTTCATATGTTATTGGGCTTGTGTTGTTAGTTGTATATATGTTTTATAATCATTATATCTTGACTATTGACCATTTATCATTATAAAATGTCCTTCTTTGTCTCTTGTAATAATTTTTGCCTCAAAGTATACTTTTTCTGATATTAGACAGCCAAAGCAGCTCTCTTTGATTACTATTTGCATGGTATACATTTTTCCATCCTTATACTCTCAACTTACAAGTGTCTGAATTTTAAGTGAGCCTCTTGTAGACAGCATACAATTAGATCATGTTTTTTTAATCCATTCTGTCAATCTTGTGAATATAATTCTTTTATATTTAATGTAAACTGATAGGGGTGGCTGGGTGGCTCACTTGGTGTCAGACTTTGACTCAGGTCACAATCTCGCACTTTGTGGGTTCAAGCCATGTGCTGGGTTCTGTGCTGACAGCTAAGAGCCTGGAACCTGCTTTGGATTCTGTGTATCCCTATCTATCTGCCCCTCCCCCACTCATGCTCTGTGTCTCTCTCTCTCTCAAAAATAAACATTAAAAAAAATTTCATTAATGTAAATTGATAAGTACACTTTCATCTATTTTTACTATTTTCTATCTGTTTTTTGTATTTGTCTCTATTCCTTAACTGCTTTCCTTTGTATTAGGAAGATATTTTCTAGTGTAATGTTTAATTCCTTTTATGACTTTTAACTACATTTTTGAGTGATTTTCTTAAAGCTTCCTCTAGGGCTTAAAATATACATATTACTTACCAGAATCTACTTCAGATTTATACAAACTTAATTCCAGTAAGATATAAAAACTTTCTTCCTATTTACCTTATCCTTCCTTACTTTTTTGGTGCTATTATTTTTATACATATTACATCTATGCATCTCACGTCCAACAAACATATTATAACTGATTTATGCTCTTCTAAGTATTTTGAAGAAGTTTTAAAAAATTATTTATAAACTTAAATATTAGCCTTCTTATTTATCATGTTTGGTTCTCTTCTTTGCTTCCCATGGATTCAATTATCATCTGGTGTCGTTTCCTTGCTCCAATAAAACCTCATTCCCACTCCCTTCTTTTGCTCTATAATATTGTCTGATATATTACATTTCTATATGTAGACCTCAAAATACATTTTATAGAAAGTGATTTACTTATTCTTAAACAAATTAAGAAAGGGGAAAATTGTAACTGTAATTATTTATTTATTTTGAAAGAGAGAGAAAAAGAGAGAATCCCAAGCAGGTTCCACGCTGTCAGTGCAGAGCTCGATGTGGGGTTTGAACTCACCAACTGTCAGATCATGACCTGAGCCAAAACCAAGAGTCAGACACTTAAGCGACTGGACTACCCAGGCACCCCTGTAGTTGTACTTCTTAAAAAATAATTACCTAATTACCTTTTATCAGTGCTCTTTGCCGTTTTTTATGGATTTGATTACTTTCTGGTATAATTTCCCTCTTTCTCTTTCCTCAGTCATGTCTATTCTATTGATGACCCCATCAAAGGCATTCCTGTTACACTGTTTTTGATTTTGAGAATTTCCCTTTGATTCGTGAAACTTCCACCTCACTGCTTACATTACCCATCTGTTCTTGTACGTTGTGTATTATTTTCCATCAGAACTCTAAACATCTTAATTACAGTTACTTTAAATTCTCAATCTGACAAATCCAATATTCCTGCCGTATATGAATCTGATTATAATGCTTGGTCTTTTCAAACTGTGCTTTTTGTATTTTAGTGTGCCTTGTAGTTTCTTTGTTCAAAGTTGGCCATGATATCCAGCTGGACTGGGTAAAAGAACTCTGGTGAATAGCCTTCAGTGATGTGGTGGTAATGTGAAGGGGGAGAACATTCTATAGTCTTATTAGGTCTCAGTCTTTTAGTGACCATGGTCCCGCATGACCTTCACTACTACCTCTCAGTCTTCCTCCCCACACCCTCACCCCATTTAGGTGTAACAGGAAGGCTAGAAGGGGCTGATGTTGGGTATTTCCCTTGCCCCAGAGTTGGTTAGGCTCTGGTAAAATCCAGTGTGATTCATCTTTAGCAGGAGTTTCCTTTGAGGCCAGGCTTTTTTTACAGAGAACAAAATTTAGGGGACATATTTCAGAATAGTTGATTTTTCCTCCCCCTACTGAAACCACAAGATTTTCCTCTAATATTCACTATAAGAACCTGGTGGGATGCCAGGAACTAAATAAACCTCACAAAAGTGTGCCCCTGGCCTGGTCTCTAGGAGTTTTTAACTCAAGTTAGTCCGTGCTCCATCTCCAGTAATTAGGCAATCACCCTTCAAGCACTCCTACCTGACGCTGGCTCCAGCAGTGCCTTCCAGAGGGTTCCTCCTCCAGCGAACCTGTGATCCTCTGTATTTGCCTGTGTCTCCAATTTTCCAGTGGTGGTTTTGTCCTGTGTCCTCAATTCTCTCATGGATCAAAGAACAGTTGTCGATTTTCAGGTTTTTCAGCTTTCCCTGTGTATTAGGCCAGGAGGTGTGACTTCCAAGGTTCCTTATATGTTGGACCAGAAACTGAAGTCCCCTATGTGGTTTTTAAAGAAATAGCCAAACAGTTTTCTAGACCATTTGTACCATTTTACCGACGACATGTGAGAGATCTAGTTCCTCCACATCCTTGCCAGCATTTGAAATTGTCACTTTTTTATTTTAGCTGTTCTAGTAAGTGTGTAGTGGTTTCTCAGTGTGGTCTGAATTTGTATTTCCCTAATGACTAGTGATGTGTTTTCATGTGCTTATTTGCCATTCATACACCCTCTTCAGTGAAATGGCACTTTATTCTTTTGACCATTTTCTAATTGGATTGTTTGCTTTTTTACAGTTGAGTTTTCAGAGCTCTTTATATATTCTAGATAGGAGTCTTTTAGCAGATATGTGGTGTGCCAATATTTTCTCTCAGTCTGGAGAGGTCTTTTTTTAACATGTTCTTTCTAATGAAGTAGTATCAATGCAATCATCATGTGATACTTTGGAGACTGATTAGTATATCATGTGAGGTGTTATAAGTAAAACCAAAACTCTTATCAGCCTGTGATCAATATTATTTTTCTACATAGGTTTGACATAAAATCACTGTGTGATGTCACTGTGACTTTTATCTGTCATCACATTACTCACATCCAGGCTTCTGCAGGTCTGAAATTTTCTTCCCACTGAATATGTAGCAGGAATTCCAGTTGATGACATTTTTGTTTAAAAAAAAAAAGAAAAAGAATCAGCTTAGGTGGCCTTAGTCTTAGTCTTAAGGATTTCTGGATTTCGTCCTTGGAGGAGGTCAGGATCTTCCCAAGGCCTGGGTCCTCGAATATTCTTCCAGTCATCAAAAGTGGAGTCCTTTATTTTCTGTAGAGCCACGACAAGTAAAGCATATATATTAGTGTGGGAGGCCTGTAGCTTTAATTAGAACATCATCGATTCATCAATGAATAAATAGTGAAAAAAAACCCAATAGGCCCTCCATTATCATTTTAGCAAATAAATCAACTGCACATCACACACATACTAACTGAAGAAATGGCACATCTCTTAGGGTTTGGAATTTTTCTTGCTTGCTATTCATGTTAATTAGACCACCTTTTCCCCCCATCAGAATAAAATTATCAAATTATAAAAATTCTACATGCTTTATTTCTGAGAATACAAAGAAAGGGAAGAAGCTGGGAAAACAAAAATCCAACTATGAAGGCTGAACGAGCATAAGAAGAAGCACGCATTAGCATGGGTAATGGTAGTGAGAAGGGAAAAAACAAAGGTGGAGACCCTAAAGCCTTCTAGAAGAAAGAAAAAAGACCAAGATGGTCTGTCCTGCACATGAGAAATGAGCCTGAGCCAGAGAATGAAAAGACATTCCCCAGAGCTGCCATAAGCCAATCCCTTTCAGCCAGTAAAGCCTAGGGTTTTTTTTAATGTGTCTATTTTTTTGAGAAAGAGAGAGAGAGAGAGAAACAGAGCATGAACAAGGGAGGGGCAGAGAGAGAGGGAGACACAGAATCTGAAGCAGGCTCCAGGCTCTGAGCTGTCAGCACAGAGCCCAACATGGGGCTTGAACCCACTAGCCATGAGATCATGACCTGAGCTGAAGTCAGACAGCCAACCAACTGAGCCACCCAAGTGCCCTAAAACCTGGTTTCTACTAGAGCTTAGATCACTGTACGTTCAAGAAGTGTGAAGTGTCTCTCAGCAGAGAAATTAAGGTGGGATAGAGGAAAGAATATAAATGTTTCTTCACCCTTCAACACCACTCTGACAAGTTTTCTACAATTGCTTTAACTGTTCTAGAATTACTGATAAAATAATATAGAAAAAGAGACTCAGGGAACCCAGAATAGCTTATATCCAGAGATAAGGAAAATGACATGAATTTACATGGACACTTGTAATAAAAATAAAAAGAAGCATCTCTCTTTTACTAAGAAGCTGTATAACCTTGGGCATGTGATTTAAGCCGTCTGGGCACTAATTCCTTCCTAAACAATAACAAAAAGGCTTGACCAAATGGTCTCCATGGTTTTTTCAGTTCTCAAATTCTATGGTTTCCAAAATAACTAAAGGAAAATTTACTCCCAAACAAACCATCCATAGCATCACTACTGACACCGTACTTACACATCAAGAAGCAGCAAGTTACAGGCTTTGAAAAAATAGTGGGGATGTAGTGAACTGAACCACTCTCTAAATTTCACTTATAGGAAGTCTGTATTAAATATATGTGGATGAGCAGAATTCTACTTATTTAATGTGCAGGGGAGTAAATCATTTTAAAGTATAGTTCCGAAATTATTTCAGTTATAAAAAGGTTTGAGGAAAGAATAACGGCCTTTACTCAGATAACATAAGACATATGCTCAAGAGAACTGAAGAATGATTCTTAGATGGGATGCAAGTTGGCAGAACAACTTCACATAAAAGTGTTGCAAGTCTTCACAGACCTTTGGTAAATGGAAGAGTCCCTGTGGAATCCTGCGGGACGTGGACAGTCACTGAGGATGACACCATACACGGGGTGGGCGAGACCACTTGAGGCTTACCACGTAACAACCAACCACTACAGAACTGAGCATGAAACAGAATCAAGAAGTGCTGAAGAGAGCAGTGTCAGTATTGGATTTTCAGCCCCGCGAGAGTGGAGGCCTGTCTTTAATACCTCGTTGCTCCTTTGACATACAGCTGAGACACCAAAAAAGCCACTCTTCAGAAATTAGGATTAGACCAAAAGGAAGACCTGCCTTAGGCTGACTCCGACAGAGCTTAGAGCCAAGCTCTGACAAGATCCTCTGCAGAGACAATGTGGAGAACGAGCCCCATAGAGTTACAGCAGTTTAGGGAACACCAAAGTCTTTGCACAGATCCTCCCTTAAAAAGACAAAACCAGGGGCGCCTGGGTGGCTTAGTTGGTTAAGCGTCCGACTTTCGCTTAGGTCATGATCTCACGGTTCGTGGGTTCGAGCCCCGCGTCAGGCTCTGTGCTGATAGCTCAGAGCCTGGAGCCTGTTTCAGAGTCTGTGACTCCCTCTCTCTCTGACCCTCCCCTGCTCACACTCTCTCTCTCTCTCCTAGAAATAAATAAAACATTAAAAAAAATTTTTATTTTAAAATAAAAAGACAAAACCAAGCTCAAAATGATCAGCCAATAATTGGACTGCCTGCTAAAATGAGAATCAATGGTCTTCAATATATTATTCATAAATGTTCACCTTTCAAGCAAAAATGATCAAACATACAGAGAAATGGGAAAATGTGATCCACAGTCAAAAAAATGGACAAACTCTAAGAAATGGAGCACACCCTGCTCATCACATCCTATAATAAACACTTCAACTTTTGCTACTCAGATGGGTGGAAAATGACCCCTCATTGTAATTTTAACTAATATTCCATAAGTTTAGTATCTCTTCATATGTCTAAGAATGATATTCACTTCCTTTTCTCTGCAGTCTTTACGTGCTTTACCCATGTTCCTACTGGCCAACTAAATTGTTAAACTTTTCTATATTGATCCGTAGATGCTCTTCATACTTAAATAAATTAATTCATCATGATAAGATAAACAATAGTTTTAGGATTTCTCATTTAACCAGTGACTTTATATACATTTTTTAAGCTGAACTTTTGAATTTTTGTATATAAACTCATCAATCTTCCCCTTTAAAGTTTTTGAATTTTGTGTCACATTTAAATCAGTTTTTCTGACTCAAGACCCCAAAAAGGATCTCTGTTTTTTATCCTTATATTTTTAGCACTGTTTTTTTAATTTTTAAGTTCTTGTTCCATCTAGAATTCCTTCATTTATAGTATATGAAATATAGATCCATCTTGATTTTCTTTTCAAATGACTACATAGTTACCCCAAAACCACACTGTTTAAGGTAAATAATTTTTTTCTGCACTAGTAATCATTTAAGTTAACCTTACAACAGACAGAATCAGTCGCTGACCAGGAAAACTGTTACAAAAGAGAGGTTATACTAACATACAAAGTATATTAATGTATGTACCTCATACTCTGATTCCAATGACACTTTATTCATTTTCAGCTTTTTTTCTAATTCAGGATCAATCTGTAGAAAAGAAAGGGGAGCCGTAAGTTATTCAAGTCTCTTAGACTCAATTTTGAAGGTAAAAAGTTATATCGGGGATGGCTGGGATAGTGTGGCAGATGACAAACACATGACCCGACCACCCAATCATGTAATGACAACAAACATAGTGCTACCACCTACTATAATTATCAGCAGCTTGTATTCACCGACACTCTTTATATGCCAGGCATTTTGACATACATTATCTCTATGAATTCTCACAAAAACTTATGCAGATCTTTATGATGATGACGATCACGAGTGAAGATAATGGGAGACAGGAGTTCGAATCACTTGTTGAAGAGGAAGAAACTGGCTTTGACACTTGGCCCTGTGCCTCCAGAGCCCATGCTGTTAACGATCACCCTAAATGATGCTATTACATATAAATAACATAAAAATACTAATAAATATAGTGTTGCTCTTGAAAACAAAAAATAAGACCTTCATTATACCTGAAATAAAGAAGTATCTAAGAAAAAATTAGACAGGATTCCATAGTAGTGAACAGGAGATGATGCCATGTTACCTGTGAGGGGCAAAGGGTTGAGGAAAGAAGAATGTGATTGCTGAAACTGATAAACAACAAGAAAACCCAAATTAAAATAAATGGAATAGCAGAATAGTAACTGAACACAGCTTAAGACCATTGATACACTAGAAATACCATTAGAATAATGCACAAGCTTTAGGATGAAGGAAATAAAAGGTCTATAATGAAAGCTAAATGTAAAAGTCCCAACATAGGTCTGTTAGGGATTTCAGAATTAGAGAACGAAGAGAATGGAGGAAGGGATAATATTAAATAATTGACCAGTAATTAACTGAATAATATTTAGAAAGGCATGAGTCCTCAGACTGAAACAACACAAGAAAAAATAACCACAACAAAACAAAAACAACCCATTCTTAACTGAGTAATAGTAAAGCTTTAGAATATTAAGGACAGGGGTGCCTGAGAGGCTCAGTTGGTTCAGTGTCTGACTTCGGCTCAGGTCATGATCTCGTGTTTTGTGAGTTCAAGCCCCATGTGGGGCTTTGTGCTGACAGCTCAGAGCCTGGGCCTGCTTCGGATTCTGTGTCTCCTTCTCTCTGCCCCTCCCCTGCTAGTGTGTACTCGCTCACTCTTTCTTTCTCTCTCTCTCTCTCCCAAAAATAAATAAACATTAAAAAAATAACACAGTCATTTGGCTTTCTCTTTCAGTGATGTTTGGACCATGCTGGCATTGGTATTGTAATTGTTCTCATTCTCATTATCTAAATCTTAGAAAACATGATCACAACATATACAATGTTAAGAATTATATTAGGACTATTTCAAAGGGAAAAAAGACTTAATACTCAGGATTATAATGTACTTAAATGCACACTTAGGTCATACTACTTAGAGCAATGCAACAATGGATGATCTATTATTGTAGATCCATGGTTGTTAGCATTAGGAGTCAGGAGAAAAAAAGAACCACCATCACTAAGAATGGTGTAGATAAGGGGTGCCTAGGTGGCTCAGGTCATGATCTCAGTTCGTGAGTTCAGGTTCTCTGCGTCTGGCTCTCTGTGTTGGGCTCTCTGCTGTGAGCCCAGAGCCCACTTCAGATCCTCTATCTCCCTTTCTCTCTGCCCCTCCCCCATTTGCCCTCTGTCTCTCTCAAAATAAATAAATAAACTTAAAAAAAATGAATGACATAGATAAACCATGCTGTATCTATTTCACACTAAAATTGAAAGCTATTGCTTTCAGTTCATTTTTTTTAGCCCACCTCTTGGTCTCTGTACTTTCCTTTCCACTTTTCTTACCTATGACTGAAAAGCAGGAATTTCTATGTTCTGGGATGCCAGACTTTCAGTCCTAAAATCAGGACAGTTCCAGGCAAACTAACATGGCCAGTCACTCTGAATCAATACTGCCTTTGTCCACCCTTCTCAACATTTCTCAACTGAACTTATCCTCTCTTAGGCTTTCTCAATGGCATTTGTACTCTCAACCTCGGACTTGACTCCCCCCACCTTAATCTCAGAAATCCTGTCCTCTTGATTCCCCTCGCTCTCAACCTCTCAACCCTTATAACCCTGGTCAACCTCAACTAATCATCCTGTCAATCCCTCTCACATTCAATCCACCTCATCCTCTATCCTGTCCGAACTCAATCTGTCACCCAAACACTGACTCTTGACTTCACCTGAGTTTGACTTCTGAACATCAACCGACCTGGACTTCCCAGTCTCAGCAGGTCTTGTCCCCTGATCCTTCTCACGTGAACTCTGTCCACTCAGCCTCCTCCTGCAGACCTTGACCAACCTCACCCTCTCAACCTTTTCAACCAACCTTGTCCTCTCAATTGCAACGAACCTCATTCTATTTCACCTTTCTTCTCTTTACTTTAACGCCATCTTCTACACATCTCCCGTTAATGCAATCTCTCTCTTCTCTCTTCTTAACTCAGTGAAAGGCATCACCATTTATCGAGTCCACAAAACCCAAACCTCAAGCTATGCAAGGCTTACTCATTTTTTCTATATTATATACATCACACTAGTCATCAAAATACTATCAAATTTTTTTCTGGAACCCATTTATTTCTATCTTCATTGCAAAAGTTTTATTTCAAGTTCCATTACTGTCCACTGGCAAAGCGTCCTAACGAGTCTCATCTCTCCCCTCCCACCCTGCTCGATCCCCATCCATCTTGTCCCATCCTTGGCCAGAGAGGGATTTCTAAAATGAACATCTGACAATATGCCCAATACTCCCCCTGGGTTATAGAATATAATCATTTCCAACATTTAGCTAACACTCATTCAATTTTTTAAAAAGTTTATTTATTTTGAGAGAGAGAGAGAGCACGCGCACATACTCAAGGGAGGGAAAGAAAGAGAGGGAAAGAGAGAATCCCAAGCAGGCTCTGTGCTGTCAGCATGTGGGAGCCTGACACAGGGCATGAACCCACAAACTGTGAGATCATGACCTGAGCTGAAATCAAGAGTCAGACTGAGCCACCCAGGTGCCCCAACACTTACTCATTCTTAGGTTCATAATTCCAAGATTGATGCTTATAGCAAACCTTTTTTGATACCCCTTTCCCAAGTCTAAATTGTATGCCTCTCTTTAAAGTTCTGGTAATGTTCATTCCTGCTGCCTCTCTCTCACTCTCGAAAATAAATAAAATATTAAAAAAAAATATTTTAAAAAAAGGAGCACGGTGGCTCAGTCGGTTAAGCATCTGACTTCAGCCAATGTCATGATCTCCCAGTTCATGGGTTGGACCTCTACGTCGGGCTCTGTGCTGACAGGTAGCTCAGAGCATGGAGCCTGTCTTCTGATTCTGTGCCTCCCTCTCTCTCTGCCCCTTCCTCTCTCCTGCTGCCTCTCTCTCTCTCAAAATTAAATAAAACATTAAAAAAATTAAAAAATAAGTAAAAATAAAGTTCTAGTAATGTTTTATGCAAAATTCAGATATAGCATTTTACTGGGCAATGATGTAGTTTGTTTGACTACATTTTTAAACTGGATGTCTTCCAGCCTAAATTATGCCACAAGCTTTGAAAGAACTCATTTTGTTAATTTTTATCCATAGGATCTGCCACATGAAAACACAAATGAAAAATATTCAATTATTTTTCAAATACGTACATGTCATTCCACTTCCAAAAGTCAGATTATTATAACTTCCATCTTAAAAGGGGGGAAAAAAGTCCTTAATAAAATAAGTGGGATGGTAACAGAAATGTTTTACCACAGTTGACAACTGCTCTATTGCCCCACAGAAATCACACATTCTTTTTAAATTTAATATTTATTCTAATATCTAATATCTTTAAGACTAGATGGAATTGGTGTTTCTCTTAAATCATAAAATTAACTGAGAAAATTAAATAGGCCTTTACTACTCTTTATTTCCCTATCAATGATTATTAATTAATATATGATATGTATTTCATTAGCAGACCTCAGTAATATTGGTAGTAAATCGGGGCGCCTGGGTGGCTTAGTCGGTTAAGCGTCCGACTTTCGCTTAGGTCATGATCTCGTGGTTCATGGGTTCGAGCCCCGCGTCGGGCTCTGTGCTGACTGCCAGCTCAGAGCCTGGAGCCTGTTTCAGTCTGTGACTCCCTCTCTCTCTGACCCTCCCCTGCTCACGCTGTCTCTCTCTCTCTCTCCTAGAAATAAATAAAACATTTAAAAATATATATATATTGGTAGTAAATCATATATATATATTTCACCACACATATGTATTTATAGTTACATATAATATAAATATTAAATATATATATTTATCATATATAAATAACTTGGAAAAAATTCAAATATCAGAAATGGCCACAAAAAAGGTTTGTTATGTAACACTTGGCTTGAATTTGTAATTAACTGTGTAATCACAGAGGGTGAGAATCCTAACACTACCTCAAAATAGCCATTAAACCGCAGGCAAGTTACTTAAGTTCTCTGAATCTCAGATTCCTCACCTGTAAATTTCATATACTTATATGTTTATAATATACAAATATATACAACACATATAATTTTATATATATATAAATTTCCATGTTATATATATAAAATTATATGTGTTGTATATATGTTATATATAAATATGTTTATCTATAAAAAGATACATATCATTATTTATAACAAAAAATAATTTTCTTTTACTGTTAGTATATCAGTATAGTTTATATATCAATGTAATTTATAAAATTACTGATATCCATATGAAATGGAGTAATAAAATGCAGGTGAAACTGTCCCACATTCTTTAGTCCCTCCTAAATCCTAAAAACAACTATGCCAGGGCACATATTATTGGAGAACACAGTATTGCAAATTTTCTAATAATGAAGAAGATTACTAAAATCTTTATCATGATTCACTTTCGTATCATCACTAATGTCGTTTTACAGAATAAGGGAAGAGCCCAAAGATTATATAGCCACCTTGCAAAGTAAGACAAAACTCAGACTGCATACACACATCTAAACCAGAACATACACATACACAGACGTATGCTGAACACCAATTACAGTCCTTACTTTAATTTTCACAGCATCGTATCGGATTTGTGAAAACTCACGAAGACCAAAAGAGCCTCCAACAATCAGCACCTGAAACAATGAAAGGAAACAATTAAAATAGAAGCGCAGAATTCAGTCTAGCTATTGATTACTTATCAGTACCCCATACCTTCAATTGACCTCGTTTGGACAAGAAGGGAAGGAAAGTAGCATTAACGTACATCTGGTATTCCAAGTCCTCTTCTGTATGCTGCTGAATGAAGATTCCTATGAAGCATTAATATTTACCCAAGAAAGGAAATAATTTCAGCTTGAAGATAATGTAGTATAGTAATTATGGCATATTTGACTGATACACAATGAAAAGGATGTATCTTTTGAGATCTTTCCAGTAGTGCTGGGTTTCACAGTACTGAATTCAACATTTTCCTCTTCAATATTATTTATATATCTAGGATTCATATTTTGAAACATGATCCTTTAGACGTCGAGACCAGTATAGAGTAACACATTTGGGGGAAAGGCTACTACGGTACTTTCCATTCCAAGAAATAAAACAAAACAGGAAACCCCTAAGTATTTAGAAGGTACTTCAAGAACAGTGGTTTTAAGATCTGGCTTTGGTGCTTTTGAAAAATAAGAAACAAAATCATACTGGCATTCACTGGCACATGCAGGTGACCTCAGGTTAGTGGCCACAACCACAATGCTTCTGAATGGATCGCCATTTGGGGACAGAGGAATCCATAGAAAGGACGGTTTTTACACATGCTCTGTCATCTACACAAATATAATTACATTACATTTTAAGATCGTTTTCTTCAAACTCTTTTAAGGTCACTTCTCTCCTTTTGTTCTGCTAAAATGCCAATAGCTGGTATCTTCCACTATACCAACATCCTTACCAAAGTAATAAGCTATTATGTATTTAAAACAAAGTGGCTTTTATCCACATGCTTTATTGAAACGGTTTGATTTACTATGGCATCAAGACTTGCTGAAGCAAAGTAACTTGCCAAGGTGGATCGGTAAGGGGAGTTGTGGGGTTGGATTCCAACTCTGGTTGGCGTTATGTCAGTCTCAACCTGCATCTTCAAAAATGAATGAGATCTTCAGGGAACCCAGTGTAGAGCTGTACCGCAAACATATAGTCACCAAAACTACTTTCAATGTGCCTTAAAATGATTAATTATAATTCAGCGACCTTCTGAAAAGCTGTTACAGTGTGGCAGGAACCGTGCTAAACACTCAATTCACAAGGTTTTATTTAACTCCTAACAACAACCTGGGAAGAATTAAACCTGTTCACAAATCAGTAAGCTGAAATATGGAGATGCCCGAAACTGTACAGGTAAATTAAGTAAATATACCTATTTCCAACGATCCACAGCACCGTTAAAGGGTAGCAGGAGATTAAGAATGCAAGGTCAGTAATCACCCAGACTGGAATAAAAGCTGGTTCTAACCTCGCTCTCTAAAGCACACCCTGGTAACTATTAGGGAGGGTAAAAGGGGGACTCGAGAGCCCATTACCGGAGGGGTCAGAGGCCTAAGACTGCCTAGAAGTCCCTTCTTAGCGCAAGATGCGGCTCCCCTCCGGTCGCATCACAGACACTGGCGGCCAGGATCCAGCCGACCTCGAGGCCCCACCCCTTCCGGGATCCCGCCCCACCCCTTCCGGAGTCCCGCCCCATATGTTTTGCTCCCTGCGCTCACCAGCATGGGGACGCCGTAGCGAAGGGTCTTGTTCTTGCGCAGGGCGCGCATCACCGAGTGTGCAGACATGACTGAACTCTGCGATGCGCCTGGACGCCTAGTTCAGCAGGCCCAGCGCGGCCTTCCGAATCTCGGCAGCTCAAGCTCCCTCCCTACGAGAACCCTTCACTCGCCTCCTCTCCTTGGCCTCCCGGTGCTCGGTCCTCTTCTGATAGGCCTCCTCCAGGCAAAAGCAGTCGATGCGTCGTAACACACTAGGGCGTCCCGGCGGAAATTCGACTGTCGGCGGTTTGGTTCCGGCACACCCGTTTGAAGTCTGGACTTAGGGACTGAAGTCATGTCTGTAAATCATCTGCAAATGATGTCGAAACTGGTTCCTCCCACGTTTAGGGTCTTGGCCGACGCCTTCTTACTTCTCTTGCAAATAGCCGCTCTATGAAATCAGCCAAGCCAAAAAAAAAAAGTAAATTTGGAGCTAGTACTCTGGCTATTTGTAGGATGGGCAGTTTACCAGCTCTATAAAGATTTTTAGAAATAAATAAATCGCCACGAAAGGGTAGGTTGAATGGCAATCACTGTAGTACCTTGCTGTCACTGAATCTTTAATGCTCATGCTTTTACTGCCAGATAGCCTGTAATCTTGTCATTCATGAATGTCCATTTTCCACTCACTCCGCAACCCTCCGGCACATATTTTTGCAGGTCATTAGAAGGTTCGAAGAAAACAGCGATGAAAAAAATAACAATCCCTCTCTTAAAGAAGCTGGCAATTTAATGGACAAACAAATGAACGTGCCTTAGGTACAACAGTTGCTTAGGAAACAGCCCCCACGTGCCATTTGCCAGGGTGAGTCAGAGAAAGACTCACCTACCGAGTAAGTACTATTTGAAATGACCTAACAGTATAAAGTACAGGGGGCATGGATTAACAGTTCCCATGCTATCCCTGAAATCTTTCTACCTGTCCCTGCCTTTGTTGCCATGGTAACGTTCCTAGTTTAATCCTTTGTCATCTTTCCACATATTGAAGTCACCCCTAAGTGGTCTTCAGCAGAGAAATACCAGCTCTACCTTTCAGCTGCTCTAATAACACCCATATCTATAGGCCCACGGGGTCAAATATGATAAAACAAACATAACCCTAATGGTGACTCTCAAGTCTGTTTTCCACACTGCTGAAAAATTCTCTACAAAGCATAAACAAAGATTCTCCTGGTTGGCTTTGTTCGCCTACGGTAGTCACTCCAATTTTCTTAGCAAGGAACTTAATTAAGACCCTTGGTAATATAATAAGACTTTGGCCTGCCTTTTCTGCCCCTCTTCTTCATTCACTCCATACTCCATCTTGGAGGAGATACTATTCCCTGAGTATTGCATGAACTTCCACTTCTTCAAAATGCAGTTTCAGAAACACCAGGTTCTCGAAGCCTCCCTTACTCCACAGGCAATATAAATTATTCCCTCCTCAGAGCTCCAGTAGCCTTTGACCAACACCTATCACAGAGCACTAGCACAATGAAGTCTTTGTTGCTCCAAATAGCATACAAGCAAGATGAAAACCAGGAGAGAAGAGGGATACTTCAGAGTTTGAATTTGAACCTCGGGATTTACTTTTTGGTTCTGAGGCAGAGGAAATAAGTCAAACCTCTCCACCCCATGTTTCTTAAGCATCACATGACCTGATCCCAGGTAGATTTTGAAGTGATCAGGACAAGCTTTATTAAAGGGAGATTGAAAATTCCTTACCTCTATTTCTCCAATCTTCTATCACCCGTCTCTCCAAGGAAGAAACTTCTTGCAAACATGGGGAGCACTTAGCCTGAGAGGTTAAAACTGCCCAGTGGGGGTGGGGGGGCTGGGGAAAAATTATGTAGATTCAAGGCAGAGAGTCTGGAGCAATTATAGAAGGCAGGAGAATTTAGGATTAAAGGGATGGCCTTATAGGGTCTCCTTTAATGGGATTTTTTTGTACTTTATTTTGAATTGTTTGACTTTTGCTTTTTGTTATATGTTTGTTCATTTGATTCATCTCTCTGCAGAGAAAGAACCAGATAGGACCCATAAGATTTCTTAGAGGATGTATTGTGAAGTATGCAAAATTTGCAAGTGGCTCTACTTCTTTCCTCATTCACTTCCTTTTAATATTTCAGAATTCATAGAGCACCCAGGTTAGTTCAGTATTATTTCTAGCACTTTCCCTCATATCCTAGATGCGAAGGGTACTCCTCTAAAGTCCAGGCCTTTTCCTTCCTTTTCACTACACAAAACCTCTCCCTACCAGATCAGACACTAGTAAAGCCCTGCATTAAGCTAGCAGTTAACAATGGATTAAGTCATATACATATATTCTAGGTAATGCTGTAGCTAATAAGCTGCTACCCTTTTTAGATAAAGCATATATTCAATTTAGGTAAATATAGGTCGTCAGTCTCTCATTTGTTCCATTATTTAAGTAAGCGTTTATGAGATGGCCCTGAAGGAGCAATTAAATAGTAAGAATTACGAGTATGCTGGAAGATTGTCAGGGGACAAAATTTGGAGCAGCAAGAAATTTAAATGCCTAACAAATAATATCATATAGGTGGTAAACTCCATTTCTGTGCTTAGTGTTCACCTTAAGCATTACTACTGTATTCCTCAGTTTCTCTGTTAAATCTGAGTAAGCGATATTTGTCATCATTTTTATAGTTCTTACAAAATTGTTCATCAGTATGGGCTCTGTTGCGTCCTCAGAAATATGACTCAAATCCCATCTGTGTATTTTCAGTGTTAATAAACCATCACAGTGTTGATTCAGCCATCCTAACTGTTCTACTTCCAGGTGGGAGGATATAAACATGCGTATCCAGGACACAAGGCATCTCCACCACCCATGCCAGTCCTTTAGGACTCATATGTTTTTGATATCGAAGCACGTTATGTTTTCCTCCACTATCTGCTCTACCATCACTTAACTCGTGCCAGTATATAGGAGAATTCATATCAAAATTACCAATTTTGAGAACTTTAGCACTGAGGTTAGGTTTTAGAACTGTGGCCAAATTTAATAGCGATGGGTATCAAAAGGATAGTTACTTCACGAATCTTTGTTTGGTTTCCTAATTGACGTCTAAGTTGATTCACTCAAAAACCTTACAAAGTTTGGAAGAGGATGATTCCAGATTCATTTTACAGGTGAGCAAATTGAGGCTCAGAAAATTTAACAGGCTTGCACAAGGTCAGAACTCCGTGAAGTAGTACAAATGCCCCACCTAGAACTAAACATCTATAGCATTTGGCAATATTGGCTGTCTCATTCTTGAAATTTCCTCCTCCCGCGGCTTCTGTGGATGTTTGGCTCTCGTGGATCCTCGCCAACTCTGAGGCTTTTTGTCTTCTTCAGCCTTATAAATCTTAAGCCAGAGTCCTCTGCTTCTTACAGTTGTTTTCTCTATCTCAGTGATTCTCCGAGTCTAGTGTGCACAGCACCCTTGTGAGAGCTTATCAGGACACAGAACACAGAGTGCTGGGCTGAGTCCCCAGTTTCTGATTCAGTGGGTCTGGGATGGGACTTGAAAACTGGCTTCCCTAACAAGCTTTCGTGTGATCCTTCTTCTGGTCCGGGGACTACATGGTGAGAAACACTGCTCTGCCCTTGCCCCCCAGGCTCTATCCTCTGCCCTAGGTAAAGTCAACTATCACTTTGGCTTCAAATTTTATCACACTGTGGATGACTTCTGGCACATTTCCAGTAGCATAAATGGTTTTCTAACACCTCAAAGTCAACATGCCACAAAGATTTCTTTTCCTTCTTTTTTCTTTTACCTTTTTTTTGGTCCTCCCCTCCATCCTCCATACTATCTAATTTCTATGGCTATAACTACAGTGTCTGATACTTGGCTATTCAGTTTCCAATTCAGTCCAATGTGAAATCAGTTAAAAGTAAGCCTTTGACATTATTCAGCTAGGAAATAAATTGCTTCTCCCTTAATGCCCATCTGTCTTGTGATAGTGATCATTAACATTATAGTTTTATTTTTTAATGTTTTTTTTATTTATTCCTGAGAGAGAGAGAAACAGCATGAGCAGGGGAGGGGCAGAGAGGGAGACACAGAATCTGAAACAGGCTCCAGGCTCTGAGCTGTCAGCACAGAGCCTGATGCGGGGCTCAAACCCACAAACCATGAGATCATGACCTGAGACGAAGTCGGACGCTTAACCGACTGAGCCACCCAGGCACCCCTATAGTTTTAGAATTATTCCCGTATTTGTCTTATTACTTCTTACAGAATAAAAACTATGGGATGAATGTGACCATGTCTAATACATTTCTGTCTTCATGACTTCCTTTGTAGCCCTAAACCACAATCCATAATTCTTGGAAAAACAAATAAAATGGCCATGGCAAAGGTGACAAAGAGCTTCCCATACCATGATTCACAGTGAAGATCCCCCAGTAGTAATTCCTAAACCAGACAAAAACCTGCTTTGCAACACTGTGGAGAGAATCCAAGGTAAGTCTCCTATACAAATAAAAAAGTATTAGAAATCTCTCCTGTACAGATTAATGAAACCAAAATATTAACAAAATTCAAAGTTAGTTACATTGTCTCAAGGTGCAGAATTAGCTGAATTACAATGGAAAACTCTAACCTTCCAATTGCCATGGGACTAAAGCCAATCCGAAAGCTTTCTAAATACTGTCCATTAAATTAACTAGGGCTTCCTTTCTGGGTAGGTGAATGTGTGCTTTTGTGATAGAAGTCAATGATGAAATGGGATTTTATCGATTGAAATTTATGTTCAAAAAAGCTTTGTAGAAAAATTTCTAGTGAGAATTGTAAAGACACATGTTTGAATAAAGAGCAAGTAAAGTGTATTTTGATCTGATAAACTTTTTGAAAAGGAGACCATTTAAAAATGGCTTATTTGTGTGTTTTAAGTGTTTGAGTAACATCTGTTGTCCACAGCTGGTTTAAAAAAACAACTGTTAAAAATTATCATACATATAAAGTTTCCTATAAGTCAAAACATAGAGCACATTCTATAAAACTAGAACTTGACACTCAAAAGCGAACCTACTTCCTAAAGTAACCACTGCAAACTCAAGTAACAGTTTTTCAAATTTAAATTTTTCCAGTTTTACTGATATACAATTGAGACATAATATGGTATAAGATTAATGCATATACCATAATGATTTGATTAAGGTACATATTGTGAAGTGATAACCAAAGTAAATTTAGGTAAGATCCATCACCTCACATAGTTGCAAAAATTTTTTCCTTGTAATAAGAATTTTTAAGATCTTCCATAACACTATTAATAAGATTCTTAGTAACACTATTTTGAATAATCCCAAAATCATGAAGGATATCAACATAACAATGAGAAGTTACATGGCAATTAATAAAAAGGAAAAAGCATCATATGACAGATGACAGAAAATAAACTTTTGACTTGTCAAGAAGAAAAAGAACCAAAAAAAAATATAGAGAATTAGTGAAAATAAAAGCTAAAAAAAAAAAAGGAAAACAAACAAAACTAGAAGAATGGATTAATATAAAACCAAAAGCTGGTTATTAGAAAGAATCAATTCAAAGATTAAGGAAAAAATATTTAAATCTGTTGGGAATGAGACAAAAAACAAAAACAGAGATCTATAAGAAAGTAAAAAAGATTACATGAGAATTTCAACTTCTAAGAGAAATTGATGGTTTTGTGATAAAACATAAAAGTCATACATACCAATTACTGAGGACATTGGAAATTTACCATTAAGAAGGACTAGGCCTTTGGCTGTGATATAGAAAGAACCATTCATCTTAATTGAGTCCAGCCATAGCTGTCTTTCAAAAGTCCAGTGAAAAACTGTTCTTTCTAGCAAACAGGAGCGTGAGTAGATTGGGCAAGGTTTAACAACAGTGGAAATAAAATATATTGTACTTAGTTCTCAACATCCATTACAACACCAGCTCCCTTTAAAAACGACAGTTGAGGTGACTTGGTCCGCAGTTCCCACACCGTCATCCAGAATTCTAAGGCTTCTGCAGAGATTTGAAACATGGCAACAAATGAAAGTATCAGCATCTTTAGTTCAGCATCCTTGGCTGTGGAGTATGTAGATTCACATTTACCTGAGAACCCTCTACAAGAACCATATAAAAATGCTTGGAACGATATGTGGAATAATTATACAAAGTTCCAGATTGCAACATGGGGACCCTGATAGTTCATGAGGCCCTTTATTTCTTGTTCTCTTTACCTGAATTCTTGTTTCAATTTATACTGTACATGAAAAAGTACAAAATTCAGAAAGATAAACCAGAAACATGGGAAAACCAATAGAAATGGTTTCAAAGTACTTCTCTTTAATCACTTTTGTATCCAGCTTCCTTTGATTTGTGGAGCTTATTATTTTACAGAGTATTTTAATATTCTTTATGATTGGGAAAGAATGCCAAGATGGTGTCTGCTGTTGAGAAGATGCTTAGGCTGTGCAATGACTGAGGACACCTGGCCCTGTTTTCTGCACAGGCTCTTACATCACAAAAGGACATACAAACATATTCATAAAATTCATCATGAGTTTCAGGCTCCATTTGGGATGGACGCTGAATATGCACATCCCTTAGAAACTCTTGATTCTCGGAACTGGATTTTTCATTGGAATCATGCTTTTATGTGATCATGTTGTTCTTTGGGCATGGGTGGCCATTCGTTTGATAGAAACTATTGATGTCCATAAGTTGTTATGTCATTCCTCTCAACCCTTTAAATCTGATCCCTTTCTATTCTGGTTCTCAGCATCATCATTTCCACCACACGAACCTCACTGGAAATTATGACTCAACATTTACATAGTGGGATGGAATTTTGGGGACAGACTCTCAATTTATTGCCTACAATTAAAAGATGAAGAAGGTTGCGAAAAAGACTAAATAAACATCTCCTCTAAACCTTCCTGAAGATACACTTCTCCTGAGTTGAAGCAAATAGCTAACATTGCTTCTGTGGAGCAGAAGTGAATATGCGTCTTGGCTGCCAAGTGATACAAAGGACATTAACAACCTTAAATCATCTTCCTAGCGGGACCTGTTTCTACTCTACATAAAAGGTCTGTACGTGTAGAAATAAGTAAGTAGATATTGAAGTATAATTTTCATGAGGAAGTTTCAAAGGCCACGTTGCTAACCTAACAGAAAGGTTTGAAGTTATGGAAGAAGTATTCATCTATATCTTTCCCCCAAACACCATAGTTCTGAAGTTGAATTTAGTCTTTAAAATCTTTTAAATATACAGTGGCCATTTTATAAATTCTCAGCAGGGTGTGGGCCTCATATTGAACTTAAAACATCTTTTAGAATTTGCCTAACCATCAAATTGTCATGGGTTGAACCACGTCAAACGACAGTATGAGTGAGGCTGCCGAACCAGGAAGAGCAAGCACCAAGAACTTCTCCTCTCGTCCTATGCTGACCAGTTTGAGGTGAGTCTCTGTCTTTGGGAAGTCAGTTTGGATTGCAAAGTACTACTGGTATCCATAAATTAAGGCATTTCTGAATTGTTGTAAGTGGAATGAGTCTAAAGGTTTTCAGGTTACTTTAATTTTTTTTTTAAAAAATTGAGCTTTATTTTTATTTACTCTTTCATTTCTGTAGATCTAGTTTTCATTATACTTAAAACTGTATCTTGAAACATTGTGAACTGACTTGCTGTTTTTGCACTTTGAAATATTGAAATAAATGTGATTTTTTTTTTTTTTGTTTGATTACCTGGTTTCCAATTTTGGACATCAGCTGCCATTTTTTTATTCTTATAAGGAAAAGTACAGAAATCGTTAAATTGTTAAGCTCTGTAATAAAGTAGGGGCACCTGGGTGGCTTAGTCGGTTAAGCGTCCGACTTTCGCTTAGGTCATGATCTCGCGGCTCGTGGGTTCGAGCCCCGCGTCGGGCTCTGTGTTGACTGCCAGCTCAGAGCCTGGAGCCTATTTCAGAGTCTGTATCTCCCTCTCTCTCTGACCCTCCCCTGCTCACGCTGTCTCTCTCTCTCTCCTAGAAATAAATAAAAATATTAAAAAAAAATTTGTAATGAAAGTAATAATTCTTAAAAAAAAAAAGATAGGAAAAACGACAAGGTAGGAAAGAGAATAATAGGAGAAAGGATAACATCTCCCTTGAAAAGATAATTTATGGTCTTATACTCATTATCTAAAAGAATTAGCCTTTCCTTAACACATCCACAGAAAAGCCAGATTTATTTAAAGTCTGAAATAAGTTTCCTGACCCCCTAAAGTAATGCTGAGATAAAGAAAAGCTTTTAATACTTTTCCTACATCAGCAATCTGTCATTCACTTTGTTCTAGGCAAGACCAGCTTTAAATGAGCCCTGTAGTGATTCTGTTAAACTTGTACTAAACTTGTACTCCACTCCCCCACCCCCCCGCCCCTGCAGCCAGAGCCAGATTAAAATACACTTGTTTCCTGTACCCTGGCCCCCCTGCAAAATTGTATTCCTCCTCTAGTTCTTCTTGGGGACTATTACATAGGGAGTTTTACTGGTACTTTAAAGGAATTTGCCATTTTGTGAATTCAAGGGCCTTTTCCTTCTGGATGTATGATCCTAGGACTTTTATCAACTTCCTCTGACCAGTTGTTTAAAGGTTTCTGAAAGTATCTGAGTTCTTACGGCCAGTCCTTTATGTCCTCCCCGGAAGGAAAGCTCTTTTTTTTTTTACTGTCTCTATATATTGGTGTCCATCAAAGAAATAAACAAAAAAATACCATTTTCTGCGCAACCCCAGAATTGATACCCAGGTAAAATTTAGGACAAGGGGAAGGATTGGAGACTAGAGCACTGAGAACAAGAACCAAATCTGAAAACAAAATGTAAATGCAGAAGTTGGCATTAGGATGGTCTGAGGGATGGAGAAGCCGATGTTAAAGGGCTAATTTGTGGAGGCTTCTGGGACAAGGCAGATTGGGTTAAGGGGAGCAGGTGCCTGAAGCGCCCTGTGATGGAGAGGAGGTGTGCAAGAGGTAGCTAGGGAGCCAGGTCCAGGGTGCCCTCAGGACCAGACAAGCTTGAAAACAGAAGGCTGTTGAGAATTGACACAGAGGAAATGACATGGAGTTAAGAGTCTCACTAGAAAAGCAGTGGAGGAGAAAACACACAATTTAAAGTTTATAGAAAGACCCTGAGGGGAAGAGTCTGACATTTCAGCAACCAAAAAGTTGGGGTGGGGAGGGATCAGAGAGAGAGGGTGGAGTGGGGTGTGTGTGAAAAGCGTTTGAAGAAGCAGGAAGGGACTGCATCATGCAGCAGCCTTAGAGTATTTCGGATGGAATCCTAAGTGCAATGGGAAACTTCTAGGGGATTTTTAAGCAGAGGAGAGACATGATTGAATTGGTTTTACCAAGATCTTTAGTCTAAGGCAAGCAAATTGGAGGGAGACACAGTGGCTAATGAAGAGGGCAGTTAGGAAGCTAATGCAGGGCTCCAAGCAAAACTGGTTCTGGTTTAGACTACGACTCAAGGAACAATGCAACAGGCTGGGAATGGTCAGTACGAGATGGAGTAAAATGTGGAAAGCAATATGCCACTGAAATGAATGTGCCCAAGGACCACAGGGTGCCCAGGGTCATTTGACATGGTTGGAGAGGGGCCATTATCCTTTGCTTTAAGAAAAGCTAATGTAAAACTTCCTTTTCTATAAAGTGGTTTCTAATTAACCACTGACCTCAGGTACAAAGTTTGAAATGCCATCACACTGTGATTGAGGGTGGATGAAAGCTGTGATATGGAAGAATCACTCCCCATTAACTGCTTGGGGGCTCTGTAGGGTACCTACTGCCAGACCCCGCAGGCAGTGGAACTAGCCATACTTTTAGCTAGTAATTTATTATGGATTAGGAAACCAGCGAACCAAACTTGTTAGAAAATCATATAAAATAAAACTGAGGACTTTTTGCACATGGATTTGGTGATACTTAATTGCTTGGGTTGAAAAAAAAATCTTGTCGCTGCTTCCATCCTTTCTTGGTTATTTTCTTGACAGTTCGGATTACCTTTGGATATCTCAGTATGTCTGTAGGTTTCGCAGTAAAGGTAGAAATCAGAGGGAGAGAGAGCTCACTATAGCAGTAGTGGTAGTGTATTCACTATGTGTTTTATTTTCTGTATTTGGGGACTTGCTGACCCAGGAGGGACTGCTCCTCCCAGGGTTAGCCAATTTTTACAGATAGTAAACAGCTGACTCTCTCATGAGCCTACTTTTCAAATACAAACCAACCCACCCAGAGCCTATGCTCCTTTGTGGAGCTCTCACACTCAGGGTCATTATACACATGCTGTAAACACCCCAAGGCCAGGTACCAGAAAACTAGGGAGGGCTCCTATGCCACACAGGCCATTGCAGTTATTCAAACGAGCCAATCCTAACCCTATATATCTGGTCTTGCCTGTTCCTTCTCATGCAACCACAGTGAAGGCTCTTGTCCATTCTTCCTCCCTTTCCCTCTGCCTTATGCCCAATGCTAGTACTTCCCAGTATGGTCCCCATAGCATGGTGTGTTCCCTTCTCTTGGGAACTGTGTGTAACCAACTATCTTTTCAATGTCAGTGGTCTTCTGATCTTCTGGCCTTCTTCAATTATTCTATTAACAGCCAATATCTAAAACGGGAAAACTACCAACCCTTTCTTATTCCCTATCTTCTATCTGCACCCAAATAGACTTCTAGCAAATAAATTTTCCATGAATAAGTTATGATTCATTCTTCTACATTCTTCATTATTGTTCATTCTTATACATTACTTACTATACATTCTTTTCCTCTTACACAAGGTAAGGGCAATGTGGTGGAGTATAAGGAGTACAGATAAAGTTCTGGTTGGGTTACAAATCTTGACCCCTATTCTTCCCCATACTGTGAAGAGCTCAATCCAGCCTATTGGAAGATGAGAGGCCATGTGGAGAAGAATCAAGATATCCTAGCCAACAGCCCGCACTAAGTGCCAAGGTGAGGCCATTCTGGACTATCTACTCTGTTCTGCCATTAGATGGATGAAGCTGCAGGTGACCCAGGTAGTAGCAGAAAAAACACTCTGAACCCCACAGAATATTACTAAAATATTGAGTTAACCCACTAGGTTTTCCAGTGCTTTATTATGTAATTGACAACTGACATATCTTCTTAGCTCCTCAAGGGAGAAAAGCCATTCTGTACATACGATAGACTAGTCCTTGGACTTCAGGTCTGAACTTTGCTTAAGCCATGTGACAGAGCAACGATGACCAAGGCAACCTGCCTTTTCCCTTCATACATGCAGCTACATGCAAAGTAACTTAGATAAAAGGTCAATATTCAGTTTTGACAAGTCCTTTTTCATTCTGTGGCACAAACCTATTTCTGCCTTCTACAGATCTTGTCAGGCTTTAGGGGAGTAGAGAGGATATAGTAAGATAGTAAATGTTGGCAACTGTATGTACCCTTATCCTTACCTCCTGTATCAAATCTAAGCCCCAAACTGGTCATTTAAAAAAACTTTTTTTAAATGTTTTATTTATTTCTGAGAGAGAGGCAGTGCAAGCAGGGAGGGTCAGAAAGAGAGGGAGACACAGAATCAGAAGCAGGCTCCAGGCTCTGAGCTAGCTGTCAACACAGAGCTCGACACAGGACTGAAACCCGCAAACCATGAGATCATGACCTGAGCTGAAGCTGGATGCTTAGCCGACTGAGCCACCCAGGCACCCCTCAAACTGGTCATTTAGATTACTTCCTTTCCTCTTTCCATTGTTCTGTCAGAGATGCTATGCCACAGTGTTAAAAAATAAGGATGTACTTATTCAGTAACCTCCAAAATAAGGTGGTAAAAAGATTGTAAAGGTTCACAAGTGCAACAAGTTTTTATTGAATGCCAGTATGAGCTAGGCAGTTAGATATACTATTATTTCATTTGCTATGACCTGGTATCAAATAGCAAAGTTTAGGAGAGATTATCAGCTATTTTAATGGCTTCTTTTACACATTTAATCTGTGGTGGTATTCCCTAGGAGATAGGTTGCATGTCCATATGTCTTCCAAGTTGCAACAGGGCATCTATTTGATCTGAGAAACTGATAGCTGTTCAAATCCAGGCATGCAAGGTGACATTAAGATCAAAGTAGAAAGGAAGCAAGATAAGGTTCACAAGGAAAATAATCTTATAAGAACTAACATAGCCTGGGGTAAAATGCACATATATTCAGGAATAAGAAACTCATGTTCGGGGCGCCTGGGTGGCTTAGTCGGTTAAGCGTCCAACTTTCGCTTAGGTCATGATCTCGCGGTTCGTGGGTTCAAGCCCCGCGTTGGGCTCTGTGCTAACTGCCAGCTCAGAGCCTGGAGCCTGTTTCGGTCTGTGACTCCCTCTCTCTCTGACCCTCCCCTGCTCATGCTGTCTCTCTCTCTCCTAGAAATAAAAAAAAAAAAAAGAAAGAAACTCATGTTCAAGTCAGCATTGCAAATACTGAATTAAATTGGAATTCAATTCGGAAATCTATACACTAGGAAGAAGGATCATCCCATTTTCCTATGATTTGTTAATAAATTTAATGATTACAGTAAATGCAAAGTTCTTTTGTAAATGACTCTGTTAATGACTGTCTTGCATTTGAAAACATACTTCAGCCCTCCTCCCCTTTTTTCCCCCCTGCAAAAAGAACATGAACAGTATGGAAAACATTTAGAAACAGGACCTAATGTTTGTATAACTTCTTTAGACACAGCAATACTGTCTTTACAGTGTAGGCTGACACTGTCCCCAGTGCATCAGGTAAGTAGACCAAGTGCTTTATAGTATGTGTGTGTCACATCAGGCAAGAGTCTATGGCAGTTAAGAATCTGGTTCCGATCAGAACAGAATTCTGAAGAACAGAATTCCTTAAAATTTCCCTTCTGATCACAATTGTCCTTTTGGATGTGAATGCTGGTTTCAAAAAGATTTCCAGATCAAAGAGGAATAGCAAAAGGGGATAGTAACCAAGTCGAAACCTAGTAACCAAGTCGAAACCTATTATAGGTAAGAGGTTGAGAGCTTCATAACTTCTAGATGATACTAGCAAAATACTTTAACATCAAGATCACCAAAAAATACTCCCCCACAATCAAGATAATGAGCTATTTCAGCTTAGAATGACTATATCTTATTTATCTTTGTATCCACCACCTAGTACATCTGAGGCACTCACTTGTTGAAGGAAACAACCCTCATCTGTCCGAAGATAAATTCTGACTAAAGTTGACTAGAATAAAATCTTTATTGGCTCCACATGAAATTACATGAATACCACTCCCCCTCCATACTTGACAGCCTAATGGTTATGTTGTTCCATTTCTTTAAATATACCGTTTAAGTCGCTTTTACACAATAAAAACAATGTCCAACATCAAAACACATACTTCTCTAGGTTAGAACTACTGGAATTCGTTTCAGAAGAGCTCATGTCACTGAATTTGATATTAGAGCCTTCGCAGATGATTGTGTGGGATCTCTCAGTTTTGCACAATGGCTTGCACTACCCTTCAGCTGTCAGCTCTTCCTGTCTCTATTCAAGGCCCAAAGACAGAAGATACAAGTGGACTGAGATAAAAAGGATATTGTATATGTTCATGGAGTGGACACATTCAAGACATAAAGAGGAGACAGAACAGGCACCTCTACAATAGACTAAGTCTTTGAACTGAGTTAAGTCAGTTTATCTCTCTGAGCTTTGGTTTTCTCATCTCTAAGACAGATTAATCCTAGAATCTTTCTGGTTCCCTTTTAGCTCCAGTGTTTTAGGACTGGCTCTAATTTACCTACTAGCTGCACACACTGAGACACTACTACATTTTGCTGGCCAGTCCTTAGCAAATCAGAAGCTATAGAATGCTCCACTTCCTATTCCACATCCACACTTGGGCAGAAGCTCTCAGAGACCTCAGCTCTAAAAGGCCCAAATGAAATTCTCATTTTAGACTGGAGCAACGCCTGTATGTGATTTGATAATTTATGTATTTAATAATTTAAATGCCACAGAGCATTGTTCACTGACAATGCATACTAGAATGACCTGATGAACTCTATTTTACTGCTGCCTGAGTCCCACCCCCAAGAAATTCTATTGAATCAGTCTAGGTGCATCTGGGGAACCAGAAGTTTATAAGCTCCCTGATGATTCTAACATAAGAAAAAGGGGACAACTATGGCACAGAGCAGGGATTTTCAAAGTTTACTGTCAATCAGTCACCTGGAGGGATTGTTAAAACGCAGATTACTGGGTACTGTACTGTTTCTGATTCAGCAGGTCTGGGATAAAGCCCAAGAATTTACTTTTCTAACAAGGTCCCCAGTGATGCTGATGCTTTTCTCCAGAGACTTACCCTTTGGTAACCACAGTGAGTGAGAAATACCATTGACAGGGGCGCCTGGGTGGCTTAGTCAGTTAAGCGTCTGACTTTCGCTTAGGTCATGATCTCACGGTTCGTGGGTTCAAGCCCCGCGTCAGGCTCTGTGCTGACTGCCAGCTCGGAGCCTGTTTCAGTCTGTGACTCCCTCTCTCTCTGGCTTCCTCCCCTGCTCATGCTGTCTCTCTCTCCTAGAAANAAAAAAAAAGAAATACCATTGACAGTGGCACCTGATGACCTGAGTTATATCCTGATTCAGTCATTACCACCTATGTCATCTTAGCAAAGTAATTTATTATCTCTCCTTTAGTGTCTTTTTTTAACAATACTTGGATCTCAGAGTTGTCAGTATGAACAAATAGTGTGCCAGTCAGGACTTAGTACACTACCTAGCACAAAATGGTGTAACAAGTATTAATTTCCTTTCCCATTGTACATGGCTAGATGGTGTGAATAATTAAGTTAAATCAATAGCACAGGTTAAAACTTGGCAGGAAAAGAACAGAGACAATTGAAGCAAACAATGTCTTATTAAAATTATTCACATAAGATGATAAATACAGAAATGTTTTAAGTATATTGTCTTAAAATACTTTCATTCAATTTTTAAAACTTTGAACATAGTAATTTAGGTAGCAGGAATATTAGAATTTTTTTTTTTTTAATGTTTTATTTATTTCTAGGAGAGAGAGAGAGACAGCGTGAGCAGGGGAGGGTCAGAGAGAGAGGGAGTCACAGACTGAAACAGGCTCCAGGCTCTGAGCTGGCAGTCAGCACAGAGCCCGACGCGGGGCCTGAACCCACGAACCGCGAGATCATGACCTAAGCGAAAGTCGGACGCCCAACCGACTAAGCCACCCAGGCGCCCCGGTAGCAGGAATATTAGATACAATCTATAAAGTGAAAGGAATACTAGATTCAATCTATAAAGATCATGAATTTTTTAAATGACCTACAATGGACTCCAATATTTCATCTAGGAGAATAATTTAGTCTTGTAGAGAATCAGAAAAGTCGAATGGCATACTTGCCTAAAACTTGAATCAAGGATCTTTTAATGCTGTTTAATTCTAGAAAAAAACTAAATTATTAAAGTGCATAAGAATCCCTATTATTAGACAAAGCAAAACTTCTACCAATAAGGGGACAGGTGTCCTGTTTGCTTCATTTTGAATGTCTCAAGGTTCTCTCAGGAGTTGATGTCCGAACCCTGAGATTAATCCTGGGAGGTAAGCAGGCCCTTCGCGGAAGCTTCTGCACCAGCCTCCAAACGCAGCGTTGTGCCTCCTCAGCGGGGCTGGCTGAGGTGAGACCTGGAATACTGTCCGTCCTGCTCTGTGGGTCCTACAGGTTCAGCCGTCTGAGTGAGTCTCAATGGTACTGAACAGTTCAGGTCCAAAGGCCTAAGTCCTGTCGCAATTGTTTAAAGCAAGTTTCTCCCTAGAGCAATGGTTGACCCTGAGGCAAGGTCTTACTAAGGTTTTTATTTTTAAAAGCCATCCCTTTCCACTCTGGCCTGATGTCATTTTTCAGAATTCCTGGGGAAAAAAAAAAACGTGATGGCTGCCTACACATCTCTGTGGCTACATCATGTTCTGAATTTTTTTCCATGGTTTTCAACTGTTACTTAACCAGATGATATACTTCTAACTTCTCATCTATTTATGAACTGCCTTAATTAGACTGTGGGCTCCTCAAGGGTCCTGAATTTGTCCCCTTTCTCTAAGGAACGTTTGCAAGTGTTCTGAGTCTCAGGAACCATTCCCTTCTGCCATGTGCAATAAATTTGACATTCTTGTACAAGAGTCTTAAGAAAGCTGGCATCCAAGCAACCTGTGTAACATACTGATGGGATTACGCATGCTAAAAGTCGGACCCAATGGTTACCTCAGTGTACGTACGTCTTCACACTCTTGCTGTCAGGATCAGGTAAGGCCTATAGCCTACAGCCAGGATATCTGGAGGGTGGAAATGATTTCTTTTTAAGCCAGAGAATTAGCCTTGGTTCAGCTCTCCTTAGTTAGTACTTGAAAACCAACATTCAACAGCACATGAATGGAAAGGTTCCTACCTCGTTAATGTCTTTGGTATTCCTGAGCATCCGTTCATCCAACTCCTCTCAAGGTCTCCCCATGAAACATCAACCAAACTTCCCTACCCACTAAGATAAACAAAACTCTTTTCTTCCCCTTCCCTGCAAAATGGTTTGTTTGTTAAAAGCCACAGCCCACGGTGTTTAGATCCTTTCAAAAATACCTGCGATCCAAACCCTCTCACCTGAATCATAAGCTGAGCTGATTTCCCTGCCTGTCCTGCCAGGGAGCGGTTCCTTCTCTCAGAATTTTGCCGTTATGTTAAGTAGCCTGAGGGTGCAGGCGTCACCATGGAGGCACTGTCCTTTGGCCCTTTAGGGTTTTTCTGGGTTGGTTTGGCCCCATCACCCTCACTCTGACCACAGTCATCCCAGCTGATCCTTAAACAGGACCATGAGGTACCAGAAAAGTCACTAGGGCAGCCCAGAGACCAGTAAGATTTATCTCTATATTTCAAAGGCTGGGGAACCGACTGACTTAGGGAAAGCTGGATTATGGCATTTTACCTCCACTTCACCACACCTCTTGTAAGAAGAAATACCATTCTAAGATTTTTGATTAGTTGGTTTGGTCTTCTCTTTCTCTCTTTGGGCATCTTTTTAAGGCTCACGCCCTCACTCCTGCTATGTACCAAATTCTTCCATTAAGAGCATCCCTCGTAACAGACAACTGAAACCACAGAGCCACCTTCTGCTTGTTTAATTCTCCATGAGGCATCACTATTATTCTGCCATATATGGATGTGTGTGTGTGCATTTGCTTTTTTAAAAAAGTAAAAATGCTCTCCTCACTATCCTGTGTTTGATAAAGGCACCCAAGTTTGTAGTTAGAAATTAAATAAAGGCCACAAAAACCTCCCAAGGAAGACTATGAAGAAGAAAAATCCTCTCTTCTCTTGCAGCACACAGCTGGCCCTTGAGGCACACCAGCTAAGAAACAGGTATCACCCGTGCTGGTGGGAAGACCGGACCTTTCCCTCTTTGGGTTGTAGCTGAACTTCTATTTGGCATTCCTAGCAAAACAGATTAACTCTCCATTTGTCCCAAGCCAAGTCTTTTCTTCAACTTTCCTTCAAACAACGCCTTCACGCTCCCATTAGAATATAAGGACTTGGCGATTTGGACGGTGAGGTCCTGGCTAGGTAGCAGTCTCTTGAAATGATGTGTTGGCTATGCAGAGAGAGGGAAGGATATGGGAGAATGGCAGGGGAGGAGGGGGAGAGGGAGAGACAAACGTATCTTCTATTGGGAGCACTGGAAGAAAGCATGCTTTTCAAGGTCGTTGCCGGTATCTCATGAAGGCCCACGCTGCTACCATGGTGAGGGCAAACACCGGCACCAGCACCAGAGCTATGGGAATACCAGTCGGCTCCCCTTCACTTCGATGTCCTATAGGCCCATTCTGCACCTGTAACTGGAATGAAAAGAAAAACGTTACTCTAGTGACCAATGTATGTTTACCCCAACTGAAATGTCCAGGCTGACACATGACCTGGGTCTAGACCACCCAAAGCTGTAACCTCCAAGCACTATCTAACAGGAGCCCTCTCTGTTCTAGATCGATACATCAGCATCATCAATTCTTTGGAAATAAGTCTGATGGGAAGGCATTTAACCTTGCTGTGCTACTGACCTAAAAGGATCCGAAGGTAAGCTGATAACCTCTTTCTGTTTCTGTACTCCCTCCGCCAAGCTCTATGTCTGTCATACTAGGAAAATGAAGATATGCGGTAAAGCCTATTGATCCTGTGGAGAAGCTGGAAAGCACTGGGCAGGGGCAGGGAGAGTCCACCTTCCTAGAAATGTTTTCTTAGAAAGATTGCCAGTCATCAGAAAACAATAAGGGCAGATCTGAGCAATGTTAACACAGGTATGGTGCCATTTTGGGAAATACTCTGCAATTCCCAAAAGGCACCCACTCCCTCCTAATATGGGCTCATGTCCTTCATCTCTACTTTTTAACACTGGACATGGTAAAGATGAAATTTACATGAAACAGAGTTCAAAGATTCAGAGGGCAATAAGAAAAAAGAAATCATATCCTAGTGACAATAATCTTCCACTGCCTAGGCATTCCCTTTGGAGGCTGGTGGCCTTTCTTAATATTAACTTTTAGTAGCTAACTTGCAACAGTCATAGTACCATCTTATTTCAGGTCAATGGTATCAACCTCATTACAACCAGTGAAAAGTCTGCCCATTCCATCTGAAAGACAACACTACACAAGCTATCTTTGCTATCCTCTCTCCCACCTCTATATCTTCCACTTGTTTCCTGTTGAGATGTCCTGAGAGGGCATGCCAATAGTAAGAGATGGATGGTTTTTAGGGCTAGGCCAGTTCTCTGACCAGAAGTGTTATTAGGAGTTATTTACGGATGTTTCCTAAAATATGAACTTTGAAAATCATTTCCCACATGTCTTCAAAAAGAACTAACCGTACCCGAAGTTTATACCTACGTTCATTACTTGCCTTTATCTATTGCACAAAGTCTTCCTGCTTTAGAAACAGAAGAGCAAGACAGAAGCAGCTGATTACCAATACTGTCTCCCATGGATCTGTTTTCAAATCCATTACAGGGGGATTCTGCTTGCAACCCTGGCTGTTTTCTCAGGTATCTTCCATGCCTGGCTCCTTCCAGTTTTGTACTATCTCCTGTTAAGCCCTTCTTCAGCCTCTGAAGCCTCCTCACTCAAGTGCTGAGTGAGGCAGGCCAGCATTAATTTAAGAGGGAGTAACTTTTACGTATTTTTTAAAAAATTTATTTATTTAAAAAAATTTTTTTAATGTTTTATTTCTGAAAGAGCGCGCGAGCAGGGGAGGGTCAGAGAGGAAGACAGAGAATCTGAAACAGACTCCAGGCTCTGAGCTAGCTGTCAGCAAAGAGCCCAATGCGGGGCTTGAACCCACGAACCACAAGATCATGACCTGAGCCGAAGTCAGACGCTTAACTGACTGAGTCACCCAGGCACCCCAAATTTTTAATGTTTATTTATTTTGGAGAGACAGAGCGACAGAGCACAAGTGGTGGGGGGCAGAGACAGAGGGAGACACAGAATCCAAAGCAGGCTCCAGGCTCTGAGCTATCAGCATAGAGCCTAATGTGGGGCTCGAACTCATGAACTGCAACATCATGACCTGGGCCAAAGTCAGACGCTTAAGAGACTGAGGCACCCAGGGGCCCCAAAGTGGGAGCAACTTTAAAGGCACACTGAACCTGTGTTGTAAACGCACTCCAAAGTCCTTGGTGCTGTGGGAGGAATTGGGTCTACCCAGCTTCTCTACCCACCATCCAAATGATAAAACACTAGGAACTAAGAAGTGGATACAGAGATAGGTGCTGCTTTGATGAAATTCTGAATTCCATTTCCTTTTTCCTGGAGTTCCCATTTTGAGCATTATAGCTTTGGTGAAGAGGGTCATCAAGTTGATATGGGATTCGTGGTGGTGATAGGGAAAAGCACACACTGGGTATCAGAAAATCTACCATCTTTACACTCTGAGTCTCATTAGCAAGTATGTTCAAGGGCAGACATAGGTTTCCTTCCCTACTAAAAATAAACCTGATGCTCATTGTATTTTTCCCCATTTATTTAAATTTTGTCATCAACCTTTACATTTAAGGCACATCACCCTGAAGCTAGGACCTAGGCTGCAAGCATACCATTTGAATTTCCTTTCATGATAAGCAGAAGTCCCTGAAGACCCCTGCCTGTGCTAGACAAACTCTTCAAAAGAGTGAGAATGAAAGGGGAAAAAGAAAGCCAAACGCACTACTGAAGAGGCTTTATTCCCACAAAAGCCTGGTGGCCAGCCTGCTGGCTGCAAATAACACCTACCCTGTGCTGTACTCTTAGGGACACAGCATAGCCCGCATTACGAAAGAGGCCTACAGCATCCTGGTGCAGCAAGTTCTTTAGGTCTTGGCCATTTACCTGTCAAAAACAGCAAGAAAAGAGTGTGAGAGGGAGAATGTGAACTCTTATAAGTCAAAGATTTACATTCATGTGACTGTCTAAAAAACTACAGAGCAAATTACAAGGGCTAGGAGAATGGGAAAGTTACGAGGGACTGAGTAACTTCGTCACTTTAAAAGGTATGTTTTCCTAGAACTGAGGCTCCATGGGCCATTTGAAGAGCACCAAAAAAGTTTCTCCTTCACCTTAGCTCCTATTGCCTGTCTCATTTTGACACCTGGGTTTCTGTGACAGTATTTGTGTGTCTTCCATGAGCATCAGCTGCTTCCCTCCAGCTAACATCGTCTTCCAAGGCACCACTTTATCCTTTCTAGTCCTAATCCTGGGCATTGCCAGCTTCAACTCCAGAAATATAACCTGATGAAACTCTACAAATATGACTCTACGGAACAACTTATTTTGATGTGATGCAAACCTACTAGCCCATTCTATTGGTGTTATTCGATTGTGAACAATTCCCCTTGATTCCATGGATACTCCCATCCTTCTCCAATTTACTAATTTACAAGATTTCTTTGATGATACAAACTCCTAAAAAATATCTCGGTATAGGTCAGTCCTACCATCTAGAGGTGAGAGATGATCAGTGGTATTAATACTTTTTAGCATCAAGAGTGACAGTGTCCACAAGTGACATCTATCCTATGCTGTACTCAGTGACACCGCATAGCCCACTCTGTGGGTGGTGTCTGCAACAGCAATAGCACCAAGAACACTTAATGTATTTATGTGGTCGGTTCTGTGCCGCATGCTTCACATACACTATGTAATGTACTTCTCACAATAATCCTATGAGGTGGACACCATTTTTATTTTGTCTTCACAATGAAGAAATTGAAGCTGAGCAAGGTAGATAATCTACCTAAAGTCATAGTAGGTGTAGGAGCTAGGGCTATAGTTTTTACATACTGGAAGGTTAAAGTGCCCTTACATTTACTGTTCCTTCTGTGCCATTATTCTTCCACCTTGACTATTCTTTTTGTTGTTGTTGTTTATTTTGAGAGAGAGAGAGAGAACTAGTGGGGGAGAGGCAGAGAGAGAATCCCAAGCAGGCTCTGTGCTATCAGCGAAGAGCCCGATGTGAGCCTAGATACCATGAACCATGAGATCATGACTTGAGCTGAAGTCAGGAGTTGGATGCTTAACCAACTGAGCCACCCAGGTACCCTCACCTTGTCTATTCTCTAACTATTGTCAGCTGAAGCTCAAGCCATTGCCCTATTCAAGGCTCTCATCTTGTTACTATCTTCCTTCTCTAGGAGGTTCTCCACACAAACCCCTGCTCATGCCCTTGGTGAATTAACCTAACTAACAACACTTTGGGGTTATAGACATCTACCTTCCCACATGAACCGTTCCCTGCTCTAGTCCACTTTGGTCACCAACTGGCATTAAGCCTCTGACTTCAACAGTGTGCATGCTTCAGCTCCACTATCTCAAACTCTTAGAAAATGGACCACAATTTCTACACCCTTCAAACTTCATATTCCTCTACTGAATCTGCTCATTAGCCTCATCAAAACCTTTAACGTTTTTAGACTTTACTTGCATCCTTACCCATCTAGTTCTTGCTGTTACTTCAACAAAGCACTTGGTAAACTATTAGAATCCCAAGTCCCGATGATCTTCTCCATCTTTCCAGACCTACACAACATACTGCATTTACTTTCCTTGTCATGAGTTTAATGCTCCTGGAGAAAAATACACACACACACTTTCCAGCTCAGATCCATGCTAGCTGACACTTGCTATGTCCTTATACTTCTCCACTAACCTGGTGAACTCCCGAATGAATTCCCAGTGGCAGCTGTTCCAGTCCTTTCCTCCCGTCAAACCCCAACTCCAACCCCATCTCCTCTCTCTGCAGATTCCTTTGACTTATCTTTCTTGAGAATATGGATAACTTCTCACACTCTCTCCATGTTCTTTCCTCCTCCTTCAAAATTTCACAATAGCCTCCCACTACCGCTTTGCCCTTCTTTCTGAATTAGATGTTTCCTTTACCAAGGTTAAGCTATTCACTAGTGCTCTTGGTCATATCCCTTCTAGCTTTCTTATAGAATTCAAGTGATCACTTGCTCCTCTTGATTCCTTTATTATTGTTCTTGGCTCCTTCTCACCTGAAATTATCATCTAGAAAGAAAACAATATAAATATTTCTTGAACCCACTATCACCGTCTTCCGGTCTTTTCTCCTCTTCCTTTCACAGCAAACTTTGTGTGGAAGCACTACCTCCACTTCTTCAGCAGCCATTCACTCTTTATTCCCTGGTACGGTTGTAATATATGAGGTGGGGGAAAGCATACACTGCCCTGCAGCTCAGCAGTGACTTCCCATCACCAAGCCCTACAGCCCTTCCTCAGTCTTCAGACCTTCTCCCTTATGCAATTCTCTCCGGTCTCAGCTTATCAAAACTTAGCTTAGTTCTTGAATGATTCCTTTCCTGATTCCTCTTCCCCTCCTTCCTCTTTAAGGTAAGTAGTTAGTAGTCCTTTGTCCTCTTAGCTTCTCTGCCATGGTGATCTTTCACAATTTCACCTGTAGTCTGCAACACAACTCCCAATTTTTTATCCTTGTTTCTTGGGTTTGCCAGTTTCTTGTTGGGTGCCTGTATCTGAATATTCTGCTAGACCCCAATTCAATATACCCAACGCTTTTATTTTTTTTACTTCCCACCAAACGAGACTATCCCAACTTCCCTCTTTTGCCACTACCATTCCTTCAGACTAAAACTTTGATAATATTTTTAAGCTCCACTCTTTGTCAATCTTCACATAAAAGAGCAAATCCTACAGCCTAACATAGTATCATTCCTCATACACTATTTTCTTTGCATTGCCTCTCTGGGCTGTGAATGCTTTCAGATAACTATTGTGATCACCTTCTCTCAGATTCACTTTCCTCTAGGCCCTCCCTTGCTCTAACCTATGCAAACACTATGTCTCCAGATCAATCCTCCTAAAGTACAATCCTACTTACTTTATGGCTTAAAAATAAAAACAAAACTGGGAGCAGGGGAGAATGCCTGATTTTTCATTCTGGTATGCAAAGTCCTCCAGGAAATGGCTCCAACCCACATTCCCAGTTTAATCTCACATTATTCCCTTCCATAACTCCTGTGCTCTAAATCACATAACTGACTGTCCCCAGGACATAAAACATATATTCTTACCTTCATACCTGTGCTCTAGCTATTTGTCTGAATACACTTCCCTTTTTAAAAATTCTATGTATCTTCCAAGAATAATCTTAAATAGGATCAGTCCTGCTACCTACAGTGTAGAAGTGAATATAGTTTTCTAGTTGATTGATTTCAGGCTACAAAGCCACCTTCTGATTATGGTTTTCTTTGTTGTTGTTGTTGTTGTTGTTGGTTTGTTGGTTGGTTTTTTTGGTAGCCATGCCACAGGGAAAGAACTTCAGGAGTCCTGGAACCATCACAATGAATTCCCAACAACTCAACTTTCCAGTTAATTGCAGGGGAGAGAATAGGTGTGAGACTGCAATTATAGTGAGAAGGCTCACGTAACTAATCTAGCCCATGTGAGAACTGTATTTTTCATTGTAAGGAAACAGGTGTTTTCTCTTTGAGACAAATAAGTTAATGAAGCAGTCAGGTCAACAAATGCCAAAGATACCAGAGCTCAGTATAAAAGCCAAGTTTCATAGTGATATGAATGCAAGTGGGAGAACCGAGAGTCTGCATGACGTGTGATGGCAGGAGTACAGAGGTCAAAGTCATCTTTGCAATCACATCTAGCGAAACTAATAGCTAGGAATCACTGCATATTTATCATCATGTCTGGAGCTGTCTCTTCATTTTACATGTACTAACTTATTTAGTCTTCACAACAATCCTATGAGTTAGGAACCCCCATGTTATAGATGATAAAACTTGAAAGGCTATGCAACTTGTCCATAGACCCACAGAATAGAAGCAGCAAAGCCAAGACTCAAAACCTTCAGGCCACAAAACCTTCACTCTAAAACATGAAACCATGGGGACGCCTTGGTGACTCAGCTGGTTAAGCAGCCAACTTTGGCTCAGGTCATGATCTTGCAGTTCACAGGTTCAAGCCCTGCATTGGGCTCTGTGCTGACAGCTCATAGCCTAAAGAGCCTGCTTTGGATTCTGTGTCTCCCTCTCTGCCCCTCCCCTCTGTTTCTCACTCCTACTCGTTTCTCAAAATTAAAAAACAAAAACAAACAAAAAAAACACAAAACCATAGAAATTTACATTGTAAGTAAGGATTTTATTTCAGCAACATATCACTACCAATCATATTGATGTTGTCCATTATATTTTTAGTGATTTCAGTTTCATTTGTTTCAAATGTGTTCATACATTTAAAATTTTTTAGTTGTATAAAAATATAAGTTGCTTTTTTTTTTACATTTTTATTCATGTGCATATATTAGAGCAGCATTAAAATTTAAGAGGTTAAAATTTAGTCAAGGGCCACTTCATTGACAAGGCCTTTCTAAAGAATTATACTAGATGTGACTGATTTACTTTTCTATATCTCCATTCTATTTAATGATCTTAAAGCTCAAAGTGAACTCTGTCCTATATTACATCACTTTACACTCTATTGTAAATAACTTGGAAAGGCTGTATCGCAAAACTCATCATTATAATTGTTGTGTCTAAAGAGTACTTTGAACAACACCTGAGTAGAATAAATGTCACGTGATCTGAGGTTTGCTTGCAGACTACACCCTGCAAGAGCCTGACTGACATGTACTCCATGTTATACAACGCTGAAAGGCCTGGATTCTGACAGCAGCTTTACCTGCCAGGGACTCAGTTTTTACCTTGGTCCTCATCTGAGCCTCCTGCTAATGGGAAAGAAAGACATTGGTGATATCAGGCAAAAGAAGGTGCTAGACAGGGAACAGGCCAATTATACCAATTATGCCTTTCAACCCTCCTAGTTAAGCCTAAAGGTATTCTAATATAAAAGGACAGTTACTCTAATTATTTAAAAAAAAAAAAAAAAACATGGGGGCGCCTGGGTGGCTCATTTGGTTAAGCATCCGACTCTTGATTTTGGCTCAGGTCATGATCTCGTGGTTTCATGGTTTCGTGGTTTCAAGCCCCACTCTGTGCACTGACCGCAGATGGAGCCTGCTTAGGATTCTCCTTCTCTCTCTGCCTCTCTCAAAAAACAAAACAAAACAAAACAAAAAATACCCAAACAAGAGGATTTTAGACATTCCAAGGGAATTTCTTTTTTAAACTATTTCTTATCCTCTACCCAAGGTAAAACAGCCCCACAAAACAAATTATGATTCTGTCTCATGACAAGTCACCTCTAATCCAAAGCCAAATTGGCTTTCTAAAATCTGCCTCCTATAAGCATTTTTAGATTCCACCTCGTATTAACTAACCACCGAGCTCTGAAGATTTTACCCCTCAATGTGGGTCGAGCTCACTCTATGTCACCACCCATACTAATATATGGAGGTTCTCAAGATGTGAACCCAGAACCGGCAGCATTAGCGTTCACTTGGGAACTTAAAAGTTAAAAGCAATCCATGCTTTCACAGGCTGTCCAAGTGATTCTGAGTTTGAGTTAATTCTAACCTAAACTAACTGAAACACACTTTAATGGTCTCTACATCCAGCCTATTTAATAATACTCTTTAAAAAAAATTTTTTTTTAATGTTTTATTTATTTCTGAGAGAGAGAGACAGCGTGAGCAGGGAGGGGCAGAGAGAGAGAAGGAAACACAAAATCTGAAGCAGGCTCCAGGCTCTGAGCTGGCTGTCAGCACAGAGCCCAACGCGGGGCTCGAATCCACAAACCAGAACCACGAGACCAAGACCTGAGCTAAGGTCTGGCGCCGGAGCCCCCAGGCGCCCTGCATTCTGTGCATACACAGATTTCATCAGTGATTCCCACTCACCAAAGCAGTGAGTGAACAATGTGATTCTGCTGACCCACCACAGAAGATAGTGAAGCCAATCCCGTGGGTCAAGACCAGTGTTTAATTTTAAAAAAGTGAAATTAGAAGAAAACATAACAGAACATATCACCTATAGAAGAGATATTTTCCTAAACTTTGTTTCAATTTTATGTCTGAATGCACTTGCATGCAGTGTGTATTACCTACTATAGGTCATAATGTGAAGCATTTCAATAAGACTTGTCTACAGCAATGCCTTTCAAAATTTATTCACATTTTTTATTCACACCCTAGGGATCTTGCTGTAATGCAAATTTTGATACCAGTAGGTCTGGGAGGGCCCTGAGGCTACATTTCTAATGAAGCTCACAAGTAATGGCTACATAGTCCATGGACCTCACTTTTCATATACTCAACCAAGAAGCCTTAGAACATTGCTAACCTCGCCACTTCAGCTTCCTTAACTCATGGCATAGTTTTATTGAACTTGAGATATGGCAGGTTTGCAACATGTTAGAAAATTCTGCTGACTGAATGCACAGAGAATTGTAACCATGGTGCTCTAGTTAACATATGGGAAAACATACATTTTTTTTCTCCTTCAACTATGCTCGTTAGCAGTCTTCAAAACGGAGTTCCTATTTTCTGCCTTAGGAAATTGATAAATTGAGTTAAATTTAGTTTTCTTTGAGGATTAAGAATTTTGAATAGCCTCAAAAAAAATTTTTTGAATTGCCTCAAGAGGTCTAACTATAGAATAAAGTCAATATAAATGTATAAAATGGAGAGAAGAAATGGACTCAGTTTAATAAGCACTGACCTCAGACTATACTCTGGGTATTTTAATTTCTTGCCAAGATCCTGAGATGAACCCTCCCAGTCACCAAATTAAGAATTATATTTGACAAGAACAAGAAATGCAGCTGACTAGTGGCCCAATCTGTGCCATTTTGTTATACAAGGGTTAGGTCAAAATGGAATATTCATCTATTCTGTGTAAAAATTGGCAACATCAGCTCCTGGGCTTCCTAAGTATGTATTGTTGGCTGAGGATTGACTACCTACCTCCCCCTTCACTTAGGCAGACACACGAGGGAAATAAACCTAGATAGGTTTTTTTTTCCCAGAAAAATAAAATGTCCCCAGGTTCCCTGGTAACCGATACAAATATTAAATCGTTCTCACCATCACACACACAAAATAACCTTTGGGTAAGGAATCTCCATCTCCAGCCCTCATCTCAACCTCAGGTCTGTTCCACTGGTAATATCTGTTTTTGTTTCATGGCTGTTGGATGCAATAGGGCCTGAGATTGCGTGGTAAGCCATGCAATTATTTAATATTACTTGAAAAACATGGGCATAATTTGGGGAGAAATGGAAAGATTAATAGTCAATAATAATTCACAGAAGACCTAGATCCCCTAACGATGCTTCTATTAGTTACCCAACATGAATGTGCTAAGGAAGTGACTCCGAAGCTAGTAACTGAGTACTTAAGTACATCAAAGGAATAAAGCGGTTACAGAGGTGATATAACCATTTAATGGTTAATGCCTAACAAATTAATCTGAGGATAGAAAGTGGATAAGATGGAGAGGCAACAGAAGCTTATTTCTTAAGGAAAAGGGTCTAGAAAGTATTTTGGTGCAAACTCCTGGAAGGGAAACTAGAGTCAAATAAAATAGCCCTAGAAAGACTGGAGTAGGGCGCCTGGGTGGCTCAGTCAGTTCAGCTCAGGTCATGAGTTTGTGAGTTCGAGCCCTGCATCAGGCTCTGTGCTGACAGCTCAGAGCCTGCTTAGGATTCTGTCTCCCTCTCGCTGCCATTCCCCTGCTCATGCTCGCTCTCTCTCTCTCTCTCTCAAAAATAAAAAAATTTTTAAAAAGAAAAAAGAAGGGAGAGAATATCCTGGCCTTGTCCTCTTATGCTTTTTTTCTTGCTCGGTCTTCCTTTATTTCTCTCCATATCTGTCTTACATTTTTGCCTTTTTTTTGCTGGGCATTCCCTGCCTCTTTTCTTTGCCATGTCTTAATTGGTCAAAACGTAAACTTGATCCAAACTTGAATCATTCTTTGTTATGTGTCTTACAGATATTTGTAATACTTAATATCTTTTATAGATCTTTGTAATGTTTCTCATATTTCTTTTACTTTAATAAAGTAAAATCCTCTTTGCTAAAAATTTTAAAATGAAGCAAGTTTTTTCAATATCTACTTTTTTTTTCATAGACATTTATCTCCTACCATACCCTTTTAAAAAACACCAGCAGCCTTCTAGTAATTTCTTTTTTCTATAAGGCAATGGCCCACATAAGTAAGGCTCCTCATCTCAGCTTATGTCTAATAAATTCTCTCACACTGAGCTTTATGTCCTTCTATCCCCTAATTCTATCCCTTATATTCAGTTTTTATATGAAACCATACATAAAATCTATTAACTCACCATGTAACTCTCTGTTTAGGATAACTAGTCCAAGCTCCTCACTTACCTCTTGGGAGGCAGTACAGTATATTGGTTAAGAGTAGAGGCTCTAAACTCAGACCAGTTTTGGTCCTCTGCCACCTACTAGCTGTGTGACCTTGGGCAAACGGCTTGACCATACCAAGAACTCAGCTTCCTTAGCTGCAAAATGGTCATCATAAATGTACCCACCTCATAGGGTTATCACAGTATTAGATACATTTAAAGTTCTCATACTGCTCAGCATATGGTGCTCAAAAACTAACCATTCTCATTCTCCAATCATCTATCTTTAACCAAACTTTTTTGAATAACATGGCTGTCCTCTTAATCCCTATACTTTTCAAATGTAACCCAGGCCCCAAGTTTCCTGGAGAGAACGTGGTATATGTCACTTTAAAATGCATCATTTCTAACTACATACTATACCTTTAACAACTCACTCTCAAATTTTCCCTAATGTACCACTCAAGACGATTTCATGTTTTTAGGATTTCTTTCTCCATGGAGCTATAGGAAATAATCTGCTGGTGAGCTTCTCAGGATCATTTTGGGAAAAAGGTATCTATCACTGTAACTTTCATGTTAGTAAACAGGATTGAGAAGCTTAATGGACTGAAAAGAGGCAAAACAATTGGTGAGAAAGACGAAAATAGAATGTTACCATCCACGATACTGTATTTATATTCTGGATCAGCCAACCTTTCTGGGCTTGCCTGGATTTCTCAACCTGTTCATCTGTTAAATATATATTGAGCATTGTGCAAGGACACAAAAGATTAAAAAAGATCCGGTCCCTGCCCTTGAGGAACTTCTAAAAATAAAAACACTAATGCTTGCCATGTAGTAAGTGTCTTATGACAAATATTAGTAGAGCGAAATGGGAGCACAGTGGACAGATATCCAAACAAAAATGCATTCCAATTTCCAATCGTAATAACAGGTGAGGGCTCTGAGTCTAAAAAGGACATTTTAATCCCTACCTTCCTTTTTTGTCTCTTTGGAGTAAAGGAAGACACACCTTAGTGTTTCAATGAACAAAAGGGAGGTGTAAAATATAACTGAAGAAAGACAACAATTGTGGGTTTTAAGTCCCTTTCCCCCACATCGGTCCTTCGCCCTCCTTGTTCCCTGTTTTTTGAACTTGCATAAGTAACTTCACATTCTGGACTTACAGGCCTTGCTATCAAGGGAGGTATTATCCTCCTTGCTCCACGGCAGGGCTGGGAAAGGTGACTGATCAAGGTCCCTCCCACCGAATTCTACAATCCAGACATTCCCAGATCCAAAAAGGCAGGCAGAAATCTTCCCAAGGAAGGGGCCAAGGGTAAGAACTGGGGTTTAGGGAGCAAGAAACAGTGAAGGAGGCCGAAGCCAGTTCTCACCGAGAGGATCTTATCACCCTCCTGGAGCCGCCCATCCAGGGCCGCAGCCCCATTCTCTTTGATGCGGCTGACGTAGATGCCACTGTCGTTGGAGACATACTGCTGATCTGTCCCACCGACGATGTTGAAGCCCAGCCCTGAGAAAATCATGGAGGAGCTGTGAAGGAGACAGTGGTGAAGAGGGAAGGGAGTAGAGAAGAAGAGGAGAGAGAAAAAGGAAAGGTCTAGTAGGGAGGGGAGGCTGGCAAGTCAACTGTGATGTAGCTGGTCAACAGACACAGGAAAGATCAGTGAACAGTATCATCAACAGAGGTCAACAGTACCCAGAGCTGCCCACTTAGACCAGGCTAGACTAAAGATACAAACACAGTGATCAACATCATTTATTGAGTCTAGAAAGATCTATAATAAACTCAAAGAAAGAATAATGGTGACTCTTACAAGATGTGCTTCTGTTCACAACTGATTTTGATTCTGCTGGTGGCTTTCAGAGGACCCAATTCTTAACTTTCTCGCTGTTAATGTAACAGGGTAAGCGGTGTTCACGAGAAGAAGCCATGCATTTAACTAATTAGCAAATGAACTGTTTTGTTTTTTTTAAATACTTACTTAAGTAATCTCTACACACCAAGTAGGGCTTGAACTCACAACCCAAAGATAGAGTTGCTCTATCTCTCATCTGACAGAGACAGCCAGGCACCCCTGAACTATTTTTAATTTAGTGGAGGGGAAATTCCTAACCAAACCTTCCCCTCATCTCCTCTCCCAACCTTCAGGACAATTTGCATATGGAGGTGTTTTGGAGGAAACGGTCTTAGGAGTTTCGGTCTTAGGAGTTTCGTTTTTTTTCCCCTACTTTGCATGAAGGGCAGTAGTGTAGGTGTTGGCAGGAAACCTGGGAACTAGAAAGGTAACTGAAGCTTAACAACAGGACTTAATCACCAAATTCACTCTTGTTTCCTTTTCTACCTCCAGTGCAAACGACCACATGTTCAGGTAGTTTGCCAAGTTTCATCCACTGTAGAGAATGGACTACCCACTGATTAGCAACTCTCCATCTCGCCCCTAACCCCTGGCAACTATCCTTCTATTCTTTGCTTTTGTGAGTCATTTAAATAGGTATAAAGTTTCAGTTATGCAAGATGGGTAAGTTCTAGAGATCTGAGATACAACATGGTGCCTACAGATAATAACAGTGTTACTGTACTCTTAAAAATCAGTTAAGAGAGGGGCGCCTGGGTAGCTCAGTTGGCTAAGCATCTGACTTCGGCTCAGGTCATGATCTCATGGTTCGTGGGTTCGAGCCCCGCATCGGGCTCTGTGCTGACAGCTAGCTCGGAGCCTGGAGCCTGTTTCGGATTCTGTGTCTCCCTCTCTCTCTGACTCTCCCCTGCTCACGCTGTCTCTCTCTCTCAGAAATAAATAAAACATTTTAAAAAATCAGTTAAAAGACTAGGTCTCATTTAAGAGTTCTTACCGTAATAAAATTTAATTTGAAAAACAAAGAAAACTGACCACCGAAGTATCATTTCCATGGACCAACCACTAAGTTGTGGAAAGAGTTTCACTTTACAAAAACCACTTTTATAAAGGAAAGAAAAGGAAAAGAACCTCCCTGGGGTTTTCTTTATGTCAGATACTGTAGAATTTATAGCCACAAGTGAAAAGAGAAAAGGGTGTAGAAACAATGGAAAAACAAAAATCTGGTGGCACAATTAGAAGGAATGGCCCCAACCACAAGCTTCCTACCAGTTTTAATAGAAAACAGATACTTAGAGACATACATGGACTTTCTTAAAAATTCTCCCCACTGATGGGATGAAAGCTTCCACGTGAAGCTCACAGTGTTAACATAAATACTAGCAAATCAATCTGTGAGGGAAGGAAACACACGGCCAAAAGAAGAGAAGCAGCAGGAAACACCTCATTTAGACAGCATACCTTGCGCACAGAGGCTCTGCAGCTAAAGAATGAAAAGGTCTTAAGATACGTGATAGAAAGAGCTACTTCTAGAAGATGACTATTTCAACTTCCTTGAAGGGTAGGGTATGAAAACTAAGTTATTAAATGTTTTTTCTTAGAACATTTTTAATTTGTATCATTACAAAATTAAGGATACAAATGGGTGGAAGGTACTGGAAAGGGGATGGTGGGTAGTTACGAGAGAAGATAGAAAGGTAGGTGAGGTCTGATCATTGAAGGCTTTGACATCACTTCAAAACTGTGACTGTTTTGAGCAAGGTGGCTGAGGACAACCAGCCTCTCACAGTACTAGCACAAACTATTTGAAGAAAATCTCTCAAATCTCACATCTTTACTAAACACTACAGAAGACTCTGGGGATTTGGGGAACAGGAAGCATGTGTTAAGCAACTAAATGTAATATAATTGTTAGAAAGAGGAGGGAATTTGCTACTGTTATTGAAAGCTACAGAAGAGCACCTCAAAAAGGAGAGTGGAAGAAATCTAACCGAAATTTTCTATAAACATACTCTCACCAGAAGTCACACTATACAGGCATGTTTGTAAGTGATTGCTATGTCAGTTGTAAATGCACTACACCATTTGACATGAAAACTCTGAGGCTAACATAAAGTCTTTCTTCAGTGAAAGCATTTATAGAACCGAACTTACCCATAATTTGAAGCATTGCTGAAATAAAAAGGGGGTCAACAAGCACTGGGCAACAGTATTACCAATTCAAAACTGAGCCCTACATAATCCTCAGTTCACTTGTTCATTAAAAATTTCCCATCATTTACTATGTGTCAGGCACTGTGTTGCGTTCTGAGGAAGACATAAAGCTAAACTGGATAGTCTCTGCTTTAACCACAAACAGAAATGTATCCTCTTCCCTGTCCCTTTTAGATTTTGCAGAAACAAATTAAAGGCAGAAGACCTGGTCATAAGTTCAACTCCATAACAAGTCCAGATATGTGGACTTAATAAGTCAGTGTACCCCAATCCTCGGTTTCCTTTTCTGTAACATAAGGAAGGAATCCAAATTCTGCCCTATCTACCTCAAAAGGTTAACTGCTAGGGTCTAATAACATCAAATCTGAAAAAACCCTTCATAGCCTACAAAGTAGTTACTGTAAGAGCAGTTGTCAGTAAACACTGGTGCCTGCTACAGCCCAAATTGGATAGTTTGATGGAGAAAAGATTAAATATATATATAGTACAAATATGGAAAGTCCCTAAACATAAGAAGACAGATAAAAAGTCCATCTGTCTATTAACAGAACAAGACTGGTCTGGAACTCAAACTTACTGAAACTAAGTGTATCTATAACCGGTGACCCAGACATCCCCGTCATGAAGAGTTTCTAGCAAGGGTGGTATTTAAAATATACAACAATCGGTCCAGCACATGCACCAACCAATTGCAACAGATGTCAGCTAGAAACAACCAGAAGGAGAATGGCTATCCCAGCATCCTGTCTGCTGATTATCAACTGTGTCTCAGGAAATAGGGTAGACCACCAATCCTGGGTTGTCTGGGAGCCTTGATATATACCTGCTGTCCCACCATAATTAAAACTGTCCCCTTCAACTTAAAAAGCATCTCATCTTGGACCAATGTGATCATCCTATGTATAAAGAGTAATGTAAAAATGTTAACTGCAACATGTACTAGGGTAAAACTGATAGTAATTTAGATGTCTATCCTTTAGGGGAATAGATAACTAAAATATAGTTAAAAGTCAGAAGTACAAAATAATATCTAAGGGAACAGGGTTTTAAAATGTAATGTTGGTTATTGATAGTCCAATATCTTCTTATAGATTAGAAACCCAGGCACACAAAACAGTATTACCTACTTACAAAACTGCATGTATATTTAGGGGCATCTCAGTGGCTCCATTGGTTAAGCGTCTGACTCTTGATTTCAGCTCAGGTCATGATTCCATGGTTCATGAGATTGAGTGTTGTGTTGGGCTCTGCACTGACAATGCAAAGCCTGCTTGGGATTCTCTTTCCTTCTCTCTCTCTCTCTCTCTCAAAATTAATAAATTTTTTTAAAAAACAATAAACAGAAGTACATGTATCTTTAAAGACATGTAAAGACACATTAGAATGGGCACCTATGAGGTAAAGGGTACAGGATGAAGTTTAGGGATAAAGGGCAAAAATAAAACCAGAGAGTGACCTTGCATTTACTGATGAAGATAACATGTTATGGACCTAAAGGATACAATTAATTCAGCTCTCAGCATCTATAATTCAAAAGAAGTTGAGGGAGAGGAAAAAAGAAAAAGACTAGAACTCAAAGGCTTTTTAAAAAGTAAGTGAATGAACAAGTATTACATAGTGAACTCAGGTTATAATGTGCAAATAATTTTCTTAAATATGATAAGCTTAAAATGCACTGCTTGGTCTCTAATTTGGAAAAGAGGTCTAAATGCAAAAAAAAGTAAAGATGGTATAAGAATTACACCACCATAGGACTAGGAGAGAAAGAAAGTACATTTTGTATAGGAGCTTTGTAAGGTCAAACAGGAAGTGCCTTCTGGTGGACACCCCCCATTCATCTCCAGGGCTGGACCTTAGGCTCACTGATGCATAAGAGCAGTAATAGCAGAGGCGACAGCTAACATTTGCGGAGCATTTAATATGTACAAGGCACCATGCTATGCACTTTACATACATTATCTCATTTAATCTTCTCAACAAATGGGTGGAGTGATTATTACATTTTACAGATGAATTTGAAGACGAGGCATGGAGAGATTAAATAATTTTACAAAAGGTAAATGAGGATGTTTGATTCCAACGTGTGAGTTTTAAATCATTTTGCTATACTATATTGTTGTAGAAAATAGAAACAACTGCTTTAGGAAAAAAAAGATCTGCTAAGGCTGGCTGGCTACCTTGGGAGGCAACTTGCCTTTAGGTGGCCTGAATCAGCAATGTTGGAATAATGGTTGTAGAATAGTTCCCAAGAGTGATGTATTCCAGAGGAAGAACTGGTCATTGTGGAGTTCTGTCACTTTAATCACGGTCCCTAGTGCTTATTTTCAGGCAAAAGAAAGAAATGCCCTTCATTTATTTTAGATTCTTGTCTATAAAATCTGTATATAAGGTAAAAAAAAAAAAAAAAAAAAAAAGGAAAGGGAGGGGGCGCCTGGGTGGCTCA